AAAAAAAAAAAAGGAGGTTACAATGGATATTACGAGTTTGAAAAGAATTTCTTGTTATTGTTTCAAAATTGTACAATCACAAATGATACGTCGGAAGTGACGGAATTCTTGTTAGGCATGCGTAGATGCAATCTTCTCGTAATCATACTTCTCCGACGATCCCGATATATATTTCATAAATTTCCACACTCCACACATCATCATGTTGTAAGCAGATCAAAGGACGACTCGTGTTGCTGCTTTTGTTTAACAAACAATATTTAAAATGTTTTTTTTTTCCTCTTCCGTCCCGAAATAATAATTTTTCTTGTTTAACAGAACTGACAAAGATAATCGCTCTCTCGGAAGGAGACAAACAACAAAATTCTTTCATAATGCAAAAAAAAAAAAAAAAATCCCAAACGGGGTGGCAAAGGCAAACGGATGATGATGATGATGTTCTTCCTCCATTCGGGACTTAATTTGGGGGGAAATAATGAATGAAGTTAGTTGAGAAATCTACTTACTGTCCACGTCTTACATTTATATATCCTTCTCTCAATTCATGTGTGTTTGCACCACTTGACATCATTCTTGTTTTTTGTTAGTTAATTTATGTGTTGGCGATGCCATCATTCTTTTGCTTTTGTGTACTGTTGCAGAACTAGCTAACTGTTTTCTGTTTTCATTTCGAACTTGTCCCGATAATGACATTATAATATTAAATTAAATGGGGTGTTATTGTTTTCTTTTTATAATTTAATACTAATAACTAAAAGTGTAGGAGTACAATTTGACAGAGAGATTTGTCCTCGAAATTAAAAAATTATGATTATATATTAAACTAAACAAATATTATATCCTAATCACATGTCCCATATATTAGGTGAAAAAGGAAAAAAAAAAAAAAAACGGGGGAGAGAATTATTGGGCAATAATCAATATATTCGTCCAAAAAGGAATGCAACAAAAAAGGGTCCAATCCAAACTGGGCCACACGTGCGGTTCACCCCCAGCTTTGTGCAGAGATCACACGTGGATAAGGCAGAAGAAAACAACACCGAAAAATCAACCAAAAGAAAAAAAAAAAAAGAAGTGGGAAAAATGCGAATAAAAAAGTACGTAACCTGAGAGAATTCAAAACAATAATATAGTGTGTGTGTGTGTGAATGAGTTATATCATCAGTTCTTCTTCTTTCTGTCATCAGCAATTGAACTTTATAACCCCATCCTCCTCAGCTTTATTATTTCACCCCCTCAAAACACACACACACACGCACGGGTTGTGTTGGTTCCACTAACTATATTTTATTTTCACCTACGTTTTTATAGATTTTCCTTTTTGTTTTAGTGGTCTGAAAAAGTTTTTTAAAAAAGACATGAGATGCTGCGTACAACATTGTCCTTATCTGATTTTGTTCATCAAATTTCATAAATCCAAAAAAGAAAAAAAAAGAAAAAGAGAAGAGAATCATAACAATAATAATCCACACACACGTTTGGGTGAGTACCTTTTTTAATGGGGAGGAGGCTTATATCTATCACAAGTATTGTCTTCACCCTAGCTCCCTAACTAATCCCATCTCATCAATATTTGCTAACACCCCCCAAATCTGTTTTTGTGTTCATGTACACTCGTACTATATATAGCTCATCATGCATCACCCGTTGCTCTTTGTGTTACTTTCTTTTTAACCGTTATCACGAAACTGTAGAACACACGTATTATACTTAAATTGATTCTCGTTTGACTCATTTTGGGGGTAAATGTCTACCTACAATCAAACATGTTTACTAGTTCCTTAATATTGTTTGTTCCAACCCTTCAAAGGTGAAGAAAGACTCATCCCGTGAATTAATGTAGTAACCTACTCTCATGTCACATGCATGTGGTAAACTTATGCTACATATATATGGTCAAAGTGAAGTTGAAACATAGATCATAACAAGTAGATATTGGACACATAAAAACATGCCTCTTTGGGTTTGGTTGGTTGGTTGGGGTCGACCTCTAATTAATTGAAATGTCTTGCAATTTGGCATTTGATCGGATTGAATTCCACTCAAAATGAGGACAAAATAGTTTATGCCTTTGATTCTTTTCCTATGATTAATAGTACTGTTGCATATATAATTTATTTTGACCAAGATTGTTTGAGGCTCACTGAAAATGTAGTACATTCCTGTTACACTGACACAGTTATTAAATGAAAGCGTATACCACTAGCTTTGGTGTTGTACTACTTGTACATTTTATCGAAATTAATACACTGTTTTCCTTATTCCCACAGAATACAGTATACATATTTCTCACTGAATTTTTTTTTTCCCTTACATATCATTTTTAAAATATGCTTTAACAAAAACGATGTAGCAAAATAAACGGTTAAGGTGAAACGAGTGCAGTATAATTTACTTCATTTTTAATGAAAGCAAAATATCTTACGTGTGTGTGGGATCACATTAGCTAACTACTTTCGCGAAACTGAAAAACACACTCGTTACGGAGAAGAGTCATATACTACTAGAAAAACAAACTAGCTAGTACAACAACTGTCTTAATCATTCCCATTAAATAACCATTTCCATTTGGGAAGATTTTGGTATCCTATATTTATAATCTTTGACCATTTGACCGTCAACCTAGAACCAGCTGATTCAAAGATAGCCAAGGTCTTACCTTGTTAGTTTGGCTACTTAAATGTTTCCAATGATTTTCTTCAACTTTTTTTTATTGTACGACTTTAATTAACGTAACATTTCAAAAAGTCTTAAGAGTTCGAGCCCTGTAAATAAAATCGTCAACAATGTTAGAGATTGATATATTGAGAAATGAACTTTATACATTCAAAGAGATATTTTCAAGGTTAGCTATTTGATTTTTTCTGTAGCACAACAATAATGGGGTGAAGTGATGTATCTACATCATTGTTATGAAACATAGTTAGTGAAAAGGAAAGACGTCTAGGAAATTTTGCTCCAATCATATTTCATGATTGGATGGATGACTTGTGTTCATGAGAGTCAGTGCAGCTTCATTTTTACGCAAGTTTTTAACACCATTTTTCTTCTTCTTCTTTTTTGTGTTGAATTTTGATGATATTCCTCATATGAGAAGATCTTTGGTAATCATTCCTCAGATAGTAGCACCGGCGTAGTAGTATTACCTAAACGAAGAAAGCGTCCGAGGAATAACATCTTTCCTATTACGGTTTAAGTACTCTAAACGCATTTGTACAAGAGTTTTAAAAAGACTTTTAAGGCTAAAAAGTTTGTTTACAGTTTAAAATGCGTTTGGACAAAATAATTATAACTTTTTCTAAACATCAATTTGAAAAAAAAAGGTTTGAAATAGACTTTTTAGAAAATAGGTAGTGGGATATTTTTCAATTTTTTGAAACAATCTTTTTAGTTTCATTCGCAGGTCATAATCCGGGGTCAAAAGCGGATTATAAAAAATCGGGTCATGAATATCATTAACAAGACTAAAAAAAAAAAAGAGAGGTGCGTTACACGCGATGCACGGTTCCCCTCCCTTCCCATCTTTTCCTCATTGCTCACTTTGTTGTCAGCCCCACTTTTTTTTTTATCCTATTTTTTCAAATGATTATATCTTTTAATATATAAATATTTAGACAACGTGCTATATATCAAATTAATCTACGTGAGATCTTTCTACTAAGAACCCTTGTTAATATTTTTGGAATTAAAAATTTCATTCAAATTTATATATCAAAATCACTGTGTATATTGTTTAACTATTATGTATATGAAAAGGTAAATTATTTTTTTGGTAAAAAAATAATTTTGAAAAAGACTTAAACCAAATGGCTTTTCCATATTTTTAATTCGGAAAAGAGTTTTGAAAAATTCTTGTCTAAATGCATTATTTTTCAAAAATTACTTTTTCAACTTTTGTTTCAAACAGACTTTTTTGAACAACTTTTCAAAACTCTTGTCCAAATGGAGCCTTAATTATCATTACTTTTTAACCTTTAGCTTCTTTTTCTTTTTTCCTTAATGGAAAAATAAAATAACACGTTGGATTAAAGACATACAATAATGAATATGGGTTACACCCAAAGGGGGCCGGTATCGGTTCAAATTCGAATGTGAAATTAATCATTTTGGAACGAATGTATAATAAGAAAAAAGATATCTATAAGTAACCTTTTTCATTATCGGGAATTAATGCAAAATGAATTTCCAACGGAATTTGTGTACTATCAATCAAATAATTAGTGGCTTGAATAAGTTAGTTAAGGTGGTATAATCAAAGTATCATTCTTTCAACAAAAGAAAATCTTATCCAACGTTTTGTAAACACAAGTGTAGCTATCTAAAATAGCACAAGGCAGACATTAGATTTGGAGCCTCTCTTGTCAATGTCGGGAGAGACAGCCTAAGACCTTCACCTCAACTCTCCCTAGAGCCCTAGAGGTTTTGGTGCAATAGTAAGTTTGTAGTAGTAGTTGTACCTTCAATCCCCCTACCCCTTCTTCCTTCCAACCATATAAAGAAAATAGAAAAACACGTTCTATAAATGTATATCTATATATAGATTGATGTTAATCTCATAATAATATCATTTGAAAATGCAAAAACAAAAGAAGAAACAATTTTTAGAAAAACAAATATTGTTTTGAGACACGACTCTTAGTGTAGCTAGAACAGAACAAAAGCTATACTTCTTATGTTCCGAAAATACTATTCAGTTTAAGTCTTCATTTTTATTTCAAATTGTACTATAAATAGAAACCTAAATTGAATAATAGTTTTGGAACGGAAGAAGTACTTATTAAAACGGAAGAAGTATCCGTTTATAACAAGAAGAACGAGGAAAGAAAATGACGAGTTTAACTGTTTGACTATTCGCAAACGTTGTTGCAAAATGATTTATTTATTTCTACATGAATTTTGTGTTGAAAAAATGAAAACGAATCATCATTCATCACCAGTTCACCACCCCCACGAGGACAGTATAAATAAAGGGGATAACTTTTGGAGAAAGCAGTCAGTGAGGGATCCATCAGTCCACTCAGGTTGGTGAAATTAATCTCTTTTTACTCTCAAACACACATAAAAAAAAAAAAAACACGCACACACACACACAAACTCCTAAACACTTTTTTTCCCTCTTCTGTTGTAGACACCTTTGGGTGGTGTTTTTCTTTTTTTCCTTGTAACTTCAACAGCAAAACACTTTCTTTTTCTCATACTTCTTCTTCACCTTTCAGTTTCAGCATCTGTCACGAACTTTCTCTTTTATCAACTTCTTCCTTATATTGGTCCCTAGAATCTTCATCAACTATAGTTTCTTTTCTTTAAATTCTTTTTTTATTTTAATAGTATTAGCTCCTCTCGCTTTATTCATCACGTCATGATCAAGATGAATACGACCTCGAAACAGTTATCATTAAAGCACACTTGGTTTCTGTCAGGATAATAAGATGGCAAAACAATGGAAAACAACGCTAATAACAAGTGTATATATGTTGTAGTACCATATAACAACGTTGACAGTTATCCTTCTTCTTCTCCCCTATCGTTTTCACCATCTTGTAATTGCTCCCCTTCTTCAGGCAGTTGTTCTTCTTCAATGGGAGTGATCTTTGCAGAAATGGGTTCTTTATCCATTAGTCCCAACAACAACCACCACCATGGAGGAGGAGGAGGAGGGGTAACTTCTTCTTCTTCTTCTTCACAAGAGAGCTCCTTTTGGGGTTTTCCTTTCTCTGGGAGGAAGTTCCGGCGGCCGGAGGATCAAGAAGAAGAAGCTGATCATCATCATCAGAACAGTATTGATTTGGGAGAAGAAGGGAAAGATTCATCAGAATGCAGTGGTGGTGGATTTGGGATTGAAGCCATTGATCTTAATGCCAGTTGTTTATTAAGTGCTGAAGAAAAACCTGCAGCTAATATTAATTATGAGAATAATAATAATAACAATAACAGTTCCTCCAAGGTCGACAGAGATTGTGGCCAATCAAAGCTGTGTGCCAGGGGACATTGGAGGCCTGCGGAAGACACAAAGCTTAGAGAACTCGTAGCCCTTTACGGCCCTCAAAACTGGAATCTCATTGCTGAAAAATTAGAAGGAAGATCAGGTATATATACTAAAAAAGTTTGCATCTTTTTACTCAAAAGTTTCCATCTTTTATGTTGGCTGTTTTTATCTTATTTCATTTTGGTTTCTGCATGTTGAAAAAAAAAAGGGAAAAGTTGCAGATTGAGATGGTTTAACCAGCTGGATCCGAGGATAAACAGAAGGGCATTCAGTGAAGAAGAAGAGGAGAGACTAATGGCGGCACACAGGTTGTATGGGAATAAGTGGGCAATGATTGCGAGGCTATTCCCAGGAAGAACAGATAATGCAGTGAAGAATCATTGGCATGTGGTAATGGCTCGGAAATATAGAGAGCAATCCAGTGCTTTCAGAAGGAGGAAGATGGGTCAGTTCGTGTGTAGAAGAGTTGTATCAGATCATCATCATCCTCATCATCATGACCCGAATAGTATTGTTAGTGCCACCGTCAAAACTGAACCAATAACTTCGTCAGCATCACCGCCGGCTGTGGCGTTTGGTGGTGGTTTTAGTGGTGGCGGAGGGATGATTAGCGGCGGCAGAAATGGTGGTGGCGGTGCGGAAGCGGTTGTATCAAGCTGTGGCGGCAGTGCATCATGTTACTCCCCACAAACATCTTGTGATCTCTTTCCTGGTTTGTGTCTTTCTTTTACTTTTGTTTTCTATTGATTTATATAACGGTTTGTATGTTTGCTTTCTTCGTGACAGGGATTTCTGAATGCATTTTGTGGACTGTTTTTCTGTGTGTTTGTTTCTCTCCTTCTTTTGCTTTCTTTTTTCACATTGCTTTTGCTTCTCACAATTAAAGCTTTGAAAGGGTGTAACTAACTGATCAGTTAAAGAGAGTGAGAAAAAGGTGTAACTCATATTTTATTTTGGTTCCCTTTGTTATTCATCATTCTAAAAAAAAATTCTATACTTCGGAGTTCGCACCTTACTTACGAATGCAATTTGTTAATCGTTGTTATTAATCAAAATAATTCATTTTATTATACAATTTTCTCAGCTTAAGTGGACTAGTATATATAATAACAAAGTGGAGTATTAAACTGCAAGGACGTTTTCAATCTATCCTCCCCATTGTTAACAATCACTTTTGACCCTTGGAATGGATACTTATCCAACAGATCAATATTATTATTCACTTGTCATTGTTTGAGCATAACCTTATTTTCCCTCAAAAAATGCACTCTTGTCATTATTCTTTTCTTGATTTTTACACCAAGAGTTTGTTTTGAACCAAAATTTGTTGTTTTGTTGGCAGGTAGCTGCAGCAATGGGATGATGAGCACTTTCAATCAGCACAACAGACATTGGGAAATGCCAAGGAGAGATGATCTTCATGAATCCAACATTTCCTATCTTTATAATCAGCAGCTTCCCTTAATGAATGCAATTCAACAACAGTCACACAGCAGCCAGTACTACTACTACCATCATCATCCACCTAATAACATCAACACCACCACCAGCTGCTTCCCTTGTGATTATAACCACAATAGTACATTATTTCCTGAAGCAGTTTCATCAGGCAGCAGCACTGTCTTTGCATCATCATCATCATCATCTTCTGCGCTCAAGGATGACAGATTAACCAACCAACATGACACCATCTCACCACCACCATTTATAGACTTCCTTGGGGTTGGAGCCACATGAAAATAGTTTTTCATGAGTAGTAGTATTAGAGAGGCAGCAGGCAATTTTTTTCCTTTTTTTTTTTTTTTTTTGGTTTGTGAGTCAAACAAGTAACAGTGGAAGTTCTTTCTTTTAGTTGTTGGAACAGTGAAACATCAAAGCCTATCTTTCAGAGTCATCATCATTCATCAGTCATTACCCCTCAGCAATGTATTTTATATAGATGTTTCCCCTCTCCCAATTAATTGTAGCCTCTTTTTAAGTTGTTTTAACTCCCGCTAAATATTCTTCACATGATGAGGAACCCGTATAATATTTTGTGACACAAATTAAGGTTCTTTCACTTTCCATTTCTCTCTTTTTAACTTTCCACATTTTTTAGTTCTTTTGCATGAAAGTGGACAAAGACTGAAGAACAATTGTGTAATGAGGTATCTTAGTACGTTCTATATATGTACATATAATCACTTATCATTAAAGTGTAGTATCACAATGGCACAAGTGAGTATGTAATCTTATCTTTTTTTTATGTTCCAACCGTCGTTGTTCTTCGAAATTACTAATTTGAATTTGATCCAGGTAGTTCTTGTTTGGGGAGGCAAAAGTACTTTTTTCATGAGTAACAAGTATTTTACTTACTGCTGTATGTAATTTATCTTATGTTATTAGTTAAAAGGCTAACTAACTAAACCTACTGGCCTGTGGGGGACGTGTTTGATGAAAAAAAGGAAGAAATGAAAACAGTATGGTCATGTAATGGTAATAAATAACTGAACAGCAGAGTTTGCTGATGTTCTGCTTACACTAGGGGTGGTTACAAAAATAAAGGAGGGGTGGAAGCAAAGAGTTGCGAGTATTTGTGGGAGCAACCAAAAAATCATGAAGAAATGGTGATGAATTGGAGGGTGAAAAAAAGACAAGAAATTATATGAGTATTGGAGGGGGAGATCAGGGGGAAGAAGACATCCTTTTCTCATGGACCCTGCAAAAAAACAGGCAAAAATTCTGGGTCCAGAAACACGTAAAAATAAACCTGCTTCCTAGTTCCTATATATATATGCAGTCATGATGGGTAACTGTTTGAACATCCTTTGCCTCAGCAAAGAATCTTCTGATTGGGTTCATGCTACCCACATGGGATGGTTTTTATATGGGAAAAATGTCCAAGACACCTCATAAAAATACAACAAATCTAATTAATAACACCCCCAACCCACAACAAAATCTCTCTTCAAAAATCTGACCATCATAAACAGAGATATCATCACTATTTGTATTTACAGATCACCTGAATCATCATCATTATCATCTGCGTAGATTTTGTAGGTTATGGGAGAAGCAAGTGATCTTCTGCAAGTCATCATTAATCAAGTATCGTACGTACTACTACTACATTTGCATTTTTGTTATGTAGGGGAAAGTTATTGATGAGTTTTTAATATCAGTCCATCAGTTTCAAAACTTACATTGGGATCTCTTTTTAAGTGGAGTAGGAAGGCAGCATATATTACTAGTTTACTACTATATATCATTATTAAAATAATTATTATTCATTCCATCCCAAAATAATAAACCAACCATGCATGATGATAATTTTGGGACGAGTGGAGTATTTCTTTGAAAAAGGTCTACTTGGGATTTTAAACACCTAGGTAAGAAATTCAATAGGAAAGATGAACTACATGTGTACAATATCTTGGTGCATGCAAGGAAAAATTGGTATAGCCACATTGTGAAACCAAAAAGCTACTCATTTACTGACTGATGCAGTTTTCGCAAGAAAAAAGCCAAGCAAACTGAAGAGGGAATTTCATTTTAGTATTTGTCTTTCATACTTTTTACATAGATCTAGAGTTTATCCTTTTTCTTGGATACAACATCGTGAGAATACTATCACACATGAGTTAGCGGATCTAGCAAAGAACTGTAATCGTGAATGTATCACTCCTACGCAGATTCTTTGGTCAGTCGCGCTTATATGTATGACACTTAAAATCTTACCCTAAAGAAAAAAGAGTTTCTCGTTTTGTTCGTCCTGTTTGGAAATTTTTTGATTAATCAATTCCATAAAGCGTTAATGAAGGAACACACGTTTAAAAAAGGTCTCCTAAGTCCTAAATGTTTTAGTTTTAATTTAGGACTTAACCTGGGCTTCCGCCTAACTTATTGTACCAAAAATGAAGAAACACATTACACACCAAACCAAAAAAAAAAAATAAAATTTTGAAAACTAGTCCATTTCCTAGCCTGTTTGCAAGCATCAATCAATCCTTTTTGGAAATGAATAAGCCCAATACACTTGCAACAGCATTTCAAGCCCAAATAGCCCACTAATCAAATACTAAGTCCGAACCCGTAAACATCTCTCGGGTAATCCGATCCAACGTCTCAATCATCTCCGAAGTCAAACAATTCTTCCAATCTCCAATGATCCCCTTCCTGAAGAACGCGCCATTCCCGATTTCCTTTTGGCCGGTTGCCTCAACTTTTCCGACCTTATTCACTTCCAAATTGCTCAGATTCTCAAAACTACACAATTTCACCATCTTCTCCGGCAAACCCTCGACCTCTTCTTGATGGGAAAATGGTTTTCCCATGAACTCAGCCAGTCTCTTAACACAAAAGGAAGTTTTTTTCTTCAGGTCTTCGTATTTCAAGAACAGGACTTTCTCTGGCATTTCAATGCTTGCTTTCCAGTATCCCAGTACATGATCCCAATACGGCCCCCATGGGATTTTTCCTTCACGAAATCGATCGAACCAAAACTCGATTGAAACGCCATCTATCATCATGTGTTTGATGTAATGCCACTGTGATACAAGAGTGTCTTTTGGATCCCTGCAAATGTATATAATCTTGCAGTCAGGCGTGTTTCTTACGGATTCTGGTAATGAAGTAAATGGAGAATGAGTTGAGAGCAGAGGAAACTCAGGGTTTCTGTTTGGAGGGTTTTTAACAAGATCGATTTCCATATAAGGAATGAGAGAATGGGAGACATTTGTCAGCAAAGGGCTGGAGGATTCGTCTAATTGATCTCTAGTTATGATGGCATAACAGAGTGATTTCAGCCAAGTGAATCCGGCTTTAGGCGCACTGCAGAGTATGATGTCTGTTGGATTAATGGGCTTGGAGTCTTGTTGAAGTGAAATTGTGCCTTCTAAGAAGCTCCTTGGGTGCCAAAATCCTTTGTATAGATATAAATCTTTTGCCGGGATCCCGGTTTCTGCCTTGGGAAGTTTGGATATGAGTTCTTGTTGATCATACCTTGAGTTGGTTTCTTTCGTTGGAGATTCCTGATCACTGGCCATGTTAAGTATATTTTTCTGAGGATTAATTTGAGGATTTGTAGTAACTAATGGAGAGCAGCTCTCTATAATGCTTCACCACAAATGGCACCAACATATGTTGGACTGAGGTTACGAGAACAACACTGATTGGAGAAATTGGGATGGAAGTTGAATTTTTTTTTGTGGTCTGTTGCAATTTGGAGACAGAATCTTGGACGGCAAAGGTAGATCAATTCTTCATTGACAGTGAAGCTTTATATTGTTATAATAAACAAAGCTGATGTTTTTGGCGAAATTCAAAAAAGAAGCATTAGAGAGCTTCAATTGCAACATCAATTTGTTGGTTGGCATTCTGAAGTTTACGTCTCAACAAATTAAAGAAACTAAACTACTGATCGAGAAATATTAAAGAAGGAAATTAAGAAACGTTTGAGTTGAGTTCAGGAGAAACACTTCTCCATGACAGAAACAAACTCTTCGAAGTCCAGGAGACCATCTCCATTAGCATCAAAGGCACTTATCATCCTCCCACACTGTTCCAATTCAGCTCCTTCTTTCATGCACAGCCCACACAGGACTCTCTGAAGCTCAGTGGCATCAATAAACCCGTCTCCATTCACGTCGAACACTTCAAACACTTGCTTAATCTCTTGCGGAGTTGGCTCTTGGTCAAGAAATATATCTGTGAGCTCGCTAACATCAACATTCCCAATTCCTGCACGATGATCATCGGTTTCTTTTCCTGCAATTCCTAGTCTATGTATTACCTCATTCATATCATCAATGCAAAGTTCTTCTGTACTTACTTCCTCTGCAGAACAATATTCTGCAACGACTTTGCTAGAAGTCGTCGAGTTCATTTGAGTTATGGCCAAGACAAATGTTTGAACAGATATTGGAAAGAAGGGAATGTAAAACCTGAAGCCCGGTATGTAATGCAAAATATCGAAAAACGACAAGAGTTTTGACATTGTTGCCATCAAATCCATGTGAGGGATTGACACTCGACGGGGAGGGAAATTGGTTTTTATGTAATTTACTGCTTCTTCTTGTTAGTTGATGAATGGTGCAAGGAATTGGATGACTTCAAGGTGATTTATAGTGCACGACAATTGCACTTGAGTAGCTTTGATTGGTAAACTAATTTAATCTGTCGTTATCGTAACGATGGTGTTTGTCCTACATGGTGTAAACTTGCAGAGGATTTCCTGGAAAAATTGGATATAAGATGATGCAGGATCCTAGAAGTTGTTCAGTGCGTAATTAGATGACGAGCACAATTCGTCACTTAATTTCATGGAAAGTTCTGTAATTAGGGGACAAAGAAATAAAGAATTTGAGTTCAAAACTTCAAAATGTCTTTGATGCCCGGAGTAGTCAATGATCAAGAGAAACTTTTCAAAAGTTGACTTTAGTCAACAGAACAAAATCAATTCTAGTAAATATATTGAAGTTTCCGACGATTTCAGGTACTATTGCTAGAACCGTACAAATACGAGTTTTCGTTTTTCCAGCATTTTAAGTTAAAAACGGGACATCTCAGGCCGTCATAATGACATTGCTGTTCATTTTCCTAAAGTAAACGCTTCGTAGTTCCCTAAACGTGTTGATAAATTGAAAGAAATTGAAAAAATAGAAAAAGTGCCTTCATTACAACCTACAGGGGGATATATAAACAGAATAAAATGATATCGCCATACAAGTGACTAGATGTTTTATTCATTGCTAATCAATTTTGAGTTGAATGTTATGCATTCTTGTAGAATGTTTCGTACAAGTCTTTGTAAATTGAGGAATTTTGCATTTTTACTCTTAGATTAAGAATTTTTGTTTTGGCAACACCGGGAACTCCGCCACTCACGCCTATTACAATATCCAGTAAATTACAATGGGAGATAAATCACCCTAGACAAGTTCAGAGTAACAAGCTCGGTGCGAAATCAGAGATTTATGAGTGGGTTTGCTGTAATAAATCCTCTTAAGGGGCCAATTGGCATGTTTAGAACCACCCCTTCACTTTTGTTAGAGTGGAGGTTTAAACTCATGATCTCCTCTAAAGAATAAGAGTGATTTTATCATTGGACCAACACCTCATTATTCGCTAGATTAAAAACTTCAACTAGATGAATTCACTGTTTTTTTGTTAATTCGATACAGTAAACAAGTTATCCTTTCAACGTCATCTAAATTGGAAAGCTTTTCTCATTTTACAACTGCAGCGTGAAACATGACCGTAGTTGATTTGGCCAACCATGCTGTACTTGTTTGTTTTTTTAAAAAAAATAAAATAAAATAAAATAAAATTCTTTTTTTGCTTACTTCCTAATGAGAACAAGAGCAAACCTGAAAAAAGAGAGAAAGAACTGAACTAAATGGAGAGGGATCACAAAAGTTTTCACATCATCACATGCATATATGGAAATGAAGGTCCCATAACCGAACTCTAACCTCCACACAAATAATTTGTGGCTTTCTAATGATGATAACTGCTCCTTAAATATCTTCATGTCACAGTCTCTCCCCAGCCCTGATCAGTCTGAAACACATGTTCATAGTGGATTTTTTTTTATTGTAATTATTATTTTTAAATGTTCAGCCAATAAAATTTCAGTCATTCAGATTTCGGATTTTTATGGGGTTAGATTTTGTAGTAGTATGCAAGTAGGGAAATTAGACATTTATATCCCGCAAGAGATTCTATACGAGAGGAAGTGAAAAAAATGAAAAAGGCAGAGAGGGGATGAGAAAACGAAAGAATAAAAAAAACAAAACGTTTATTCCGGCTTTTTAGCCTTCCACTGTTGAGACCCTTTTGGCTCTAGAGACTGGAGAGGCAAGTTCTTTGACTTTTTCTTCTGCAGTAAAATTGTAAAAACTATTAAAAACTCAATGGAGTTTATCTCCAAAACAGAACGCAATTTCGTACCTAACTAATTAATCCACAATTGAGATCGTAATTAGACTAATTAGATTTGATACTAGTTAGATCAAAGTGTATGTTAGCTTCAAAACCACACATTACATTCATTGAACAAAACAAGGGACCAACTAACTAATAAAAAGGACCCAAAATGCTTTCTCGCATATGCCCCCACTTTGGTGACACTTTTTACTTGTGTGCTGCTTTAGAGACTTGGAGTTTTGTAATTGGTTTACTTGTTGATAAGTAAGATTTAGGCTTGATCGTTTGGAAATTTGTGATCAACTCATAGTGAAACTTCTTTCATTGGGGGACACATTGATTTCTGCCTTATAAATAGTCTACTGTAACGACTGGGAGCGCATAACACCAATAGTAGCAGCAGCAACTCCATAACAAACAAAATTTGGGTAGGTATTTCATCCCTTTCAGTAATAACTATTATGCGTGAAGCACTTAAGCTTTATCTCAATTGACTAAAAGAGTCACGAGTTAGTCCAAAATGAGCATATATCACATCTAGATTAATTCTCACAGCAAACACTTTTAAAGATAAAGTTATTTGAAACAAATGCAAACTCGATTGAATGTTTAAGACGGATAACAAAAAGAGATGCCCTTTCTGTGTCAGAATTATTGTCCAGTTGGCGATTTCATTTTTAATACAATTTGAACTAAATATGAAAATTCAAGTTAGACAATCATTTCGAGACTGAAAGAGTACAAGCTAGAATTAATGCGCATACTCTAAAGTCCGGAGAAACGATTAGAAAGAAAAGGTTGTACTCGTTTGGACTCCTAATAACGGATCAATGAAAAGGGAGATTCTAAACTTCTGGTCATTCATTAACATATCCTCTATTCATAAGAATATCAACTTATTCAGCCTAAATTATTTACACTCAGTTGGAAGACGCAACTCTGTGGGGTGTGCAGGATATCATATATGGATTGAAACTACTTGTACAGTTACCAAAAAAGATGTACTGTATTAAAAGTAAAAAGAAAAAGAAAAAGGAAGAAGTTAGCCAACTGAATTAAACTCTCCCATGAGCTTGCGAGTTTCTGCTGGCAATCAGCACCTTCATCAACTAGTTTCAGGCACTGCAAAGTTAGCTAGTAATAGATACAAACATCTTCAAGTCCGCGCGCGAATCGATCCCTTCTGCAACGTTGTTATTTATAAGAAGGAGGCTAGCTTGAAGCTATCTTATTGAAAAGTCTTTTTTGAGTCCCCATTATGCTATGAGTTCTCATGAAAGCACTGTGATCTTGAATAGGCGGCCGGGTTTGCTTGTAGAACCAAAGAAGTATCATCAACATAATTCTTTGCGTTACCTTTTGGGGTCGGGAAGGCCTTAAACAGTCTTGCACCACCGATTGAATCCGTCTTTTCATTCTTGATCCCAAGAGTTGACCATATCGAGCTCTTTGCAGCTTCATTCGGATCATCGATTCTCAGTGTCTTTGGAATCAAAATGGATCTCTCTGAATTGTCTCTCCTTTTAGAATCCTCTTCTTTTGACAGGTTTGACGGAGTCAAAATGTTGCCATCCCTGGTATGTTTTCCTAATGTAGGGGAACCAGGACTAGAAGTACTCATGGAGGAACGATCTGGCGACGAAGGAGCTTGCGGAATCCATGACACATTCCAAGGGCCTGGTGCGGCGCAACCCCAATAAGGCGGCGCCGGATAAAATGTCAAAGGAAAACTAGAAGGGCCAAGAGCAGCTGCAGCAATTGGAGCTCTCCATTGAGGAGAATTCCAGGGATAAGGCCAAGGAGGACCCGGAAAGGGCGGGGCATGTTGAACATAGCCTTGAGAGCTCCTTAGCACAGATTCATGATCACCACTCCCCTGCTCTGTCGAATTTGAGGTTGTGCCCGAAATCCCGCTTGCGTGATCCTTGGCGATTTCTGTCGTCCCACCACATGGAATGTTGTTGAGTCTTTGATCAGGACCATGATGAAAACCATTTGGGATTTGGTTTTTAGACCTTTCGGCTAGGTTTAGTACGGTGGCCATGGATTCACAAAGCGGTCTGTCTGAACCAAATGTGAGGACAGTTCCATTTGATTTCAGGACAGGGAGCTGAATCCCATTTGCACCCTCACCTCGAGAAGCTTGCAGAGCATCCGATACCATTATATGCCGATATTGAGACGGGCACGTGTTTTTGTTCTTGCGCCGACCAGAACCGACGGGGACATTTCTCATTGTTCCACCAGCAGTCCAGTATCTCTGGCAGTTCTTGCAGAAGTGTCTTGGCTGGTTGACATTGTAATTGTTGTAATAGCAGAATTTGGTATCCATGCTATTGCATCGGGGGCACGGGAGTATTTTGTCGGGCTTTTTCAGGGTTTTTTCTTGGGAGGAAGAGCTGTTATCATCGGCTTGATCTTCCTTTTGATCATCATCTTTAGGTGATGAAGTTTCATTGTCAGCAGCAGAATGTTTGTGGTCATCGCTGATCCCGGAATCTGTTGCTGGCTCGGTTGATGGCTCTTCTTCTTCTACGGCAGGATTGGATGAATCATCTTCGTCTTTATACACCGCAGCTTCATCTCCAGAAGCATTCTGATGATTTCATTAAAATTCTAGATAAGAAACGATTTCAGCCACCTAGCAAGTTGCAGTTAAAATATGATAAATACCATGATGCGAGTTTCAAAAGTGTTCAAACTGCAGATCACAAGTTTACTTTCCCCATTAATTTTGGGGTTGTTTACTTACAACTCAAGGTTCAAAGTTCAAACCATATCTTTCATTTTTATTTGATCAATCAGAACGCAAATCGAAACTCATATGATCAGGAGTTGACAGAAATCTATATTCTAAGAACCAGAGATGCACTGTTAATGGGATCTCAAAACCAGAAACCATGATTGATCTCGGCAAGTGATCACATATTAAGCCAGCCACGGTCCCTTATTGATCGAAAAGAAATCCAGCACACAAACAGGAACAACACGATGATTATGATTCCAGTTACAAAAACAGTTTTAAAAAGCGTTTGATTAACGCAGAAGCGCCTAATTAATTAGGCTTTGCTGCTGACTTTTGTTCAAATTGAATGATGTCATGAGATTCTGTTGAAGCCATGAAAATGAAACAGAGAGCTCATTTGGTGAAAGGCTGAAAGCTGATTGTTATGCAAAATTAATATCGACCCAAATCTCATTTTCCACTTCTCTAAAATGGGGTTTTCTTAAAATCACGATTGAACCAAGGTTTAAACTTGATCGCGCAAGCCAAATCTATTGCAAATAAAAACAAACTCAAATACCTTAATATCTTCAGAAACAGCTAGCTTTGATGAACTTTGAACATCAAGATTATGATCATCATCACTGGGTATTGGAGGCGAAACAAGCTCTTTTGGAGGCAATGATATCGTCTGCCCGAACAGCTTAATGGCCGGGTCTTTCAGTTCCGACATTCCTGACGATTTCCCCTTCCTCTGTTCTCTCCCCTGCTATTCCCTTTCCGCTTTCCCCTGTTTTTTTTTTCCCCTGTTTTTCCCGTCTTTTACAGAACAGAAAGGTCTTTCCTCTGCTTTTCCTTTTCCTTTCTTTTCCAGCTCTTGCTCCTTTGTAGGGGGGGAATTCAACAACCTCAATTCAAAACCTGAAGCCCCAAGGTTTTATGTTTTTGTATAGCAAAATAAAATAAAATTTCGTCCTTTCTCTTTTTGATTAGATTTATTTGAAACTACTACAATGTAGATTTATCTTGGATTTTGGCCGAATACTAAAAAGAGAATGGAGGATGGTAAAGAGAAAAGTATGAAGTTGCCACGTCAGATGTGGAAATGAATTCACAGCCACAAGTTCTTTGTGGCCTTGGAAGATCTTTCCAGTGGGGAGAGTTTTTGGGTTTGGCCCTTTTTAGGTGGGACCTCTCACCATGGGGGCTGTGGGTCCCCACCTGGGTGTTCTTGAGGTTGGGGGGTGGAGAATTTGTTATTCCCTTGTGTGTGAAAAAGAAATTTGTTTTCAGTTTCTACACTAATTTTTTATTTTTTCTTATTATTCATCTGTTGTCTATGTCAGCATTCCCTCCCTTCAAATTCATTTCAATTTGTTGTTGTTGTTCTTAAATCTTAATGATCTTAAAGTACTAGTTGTCTACTTTAAGGATTAAGGAAAAAGTGAGAAGGGGAAAGAAAAGAAAAGAAAAGGAAAAGGATAATTTTATAAAACCATGAGCTTTAAAAAGGTTCTCTTTGTAACTAATTTTAACATTTTACAGTTGTCCGGACGAGTGAATCAAGTTAATGAAATGTTAGATTGAATTATCTGGCATATATAATCATCTTTTGCGAACAATATAATCTGTACTATATGTATTTTCATTTCACTAAACGGAATTCATTTTGAACGTAAACTTTATTTTCAAATAGTCACTGTTTTGAGGGATTTATACGAATGAAATTGCAAAAAATATATATACATTACCATTCGATAACATGTTGTAATAAAATATACCAAAGTTGGTGCCTAATGTATGTACATAAACTAAAAAATTGAGAGAGGGAGAATTGGATTCTGGCCTAGGCATATATGACTTTAGAATTTCACCATCTAGAAGTTTCAAATATTATGGGAATTTCAGCTGTTGCTTTTGTTCATTTGGCTACTTTCAGGTATAATCTTTATGAGTAGGCTCCATCTAAGACACCATATGTGGCTGAGGATGTTCAGATATGGAGTTGAGTTTTGCAAATGTTACATTTTCTTCTTCCATTTTTGACATTTTTAGTTTTTTTTTTTTAAAAAAAAAATGAATACAAGTATATACTGTTTCCCTAAGTTTGGTATTTCAGTATTTCTTGTTGCAATCTTCATGCTGAGATCTTTTTCGCTTAAACACCAATTCCTCCTTTTTTTTTTCCCACAGAAGGTTATATTTGTGGTTCCAATTCATTCATAAGTCAACAACATTGGTATAAAACATGAACCATGTTGATCAGGGATTGACGGATCTCACTTTTAAGGACTCAACCAGTAACTTAAGTCTCATCCTCAAACGATGCAAACCAAGAATCGATGGATGATCCTTTAAGATATCTCCGCCGGCACCTTTTTTTTCTCAACATTTCCGGCAGTTTAGACATCAACCAGATGAAGATAACTTTTGTTTGCCAAGTTGTGTTTTTGTACTTATCCCCTCTAATGAAACTGTGTGCTTTAGTTTCATATTTGATATATCTAGTTATCCACTATGAGATTTTTAGATATTGCGGTTTCTGGAACTAATTATAGTTTTATCCTTTTTATATATTATTTCAAAAGATGATACCTCGACTCTTTCAGTCAGTTATGTTAAAATAGTAACGAAACTTACTTCTTACCATTTATTTAATTATTATATCACTATTGTTGTTGTGATCAAATGTAAACCCATTCATAGCTACTATAAACGTTTTCTAATGTTTGGACTCTTTGCAGTCACTTTATAAGGATTAAGAATTGAATTTCAATCGGATTGACCAGCGGGGAGGCAACAGACTTGCTACATTTAAAAGGTGTCACAATCTGAGAAACACGGAACACGTGGACAAGGGTCCACGTGGATGCAATCCAGCTATCAACGTTTTACAAGACAGCCTGCTGGTGGGGCCGAGATGCCATGTAAGCAAAACTCACGGCAGGAGTTCTGTGGGGACCTGCCCCCGGTTCCAAAAGGAAAAGCGAAAAAGCACCAACAAAGCGAAACATCTGAGCCGTTAAAAGATTCAGTCCCAGCTATGTTCAACGTCGACACGTGTCGCTATGTCGTAAGCACTGTGCCATTTTTCTCCATTAAATCAGGGGGCGTATAAAATAAAAGAATCTAAAACTTCTCGTGGCTCACATTTGCTGATCCAAGAAGGATTTCGTCCTCAACTTCTGACACGTGTAAATGGGCATTTTGTAGTATTTAGATAAGAACAGGTCCACCGTATCTTTTTCTCTTATCCTAAATACCCTTGTGATTTTATTTTCTTTCATGCAAAATTTAGATTAAGGTAGCAAGAAATTACAGAGTAGCTCATCAAAGGGCGTATGATTTTGTTTATTTCTTTTAGAAAATTTCAATTGCCGTATGTAGAGTGAACTTGAGTGTGGAATGACACTAGTTTCAAATTTACTCCGTCTTGGAAAAATAATACTACCTACGTCCAAAAAGTCCATTTTTTAAAATGTAAATTTTAAAATTAAATTTATGAGGTTGGTATAACTTAAAATTGATTATTAAATTGATAAATAGTCATGAAACTTTATTCAATTTTTCATATTAATTTTTTTAGTTTGTAAAATTAAGTCATCTAATGTTTATATTTTAGTTTTTGAAATTGCACTTTTTTTTTGGTCATAGATGTAGTATATTATATTTTATCATATATTATAAAGTATATTGAACTTATATTATAATTTTTAATTTATAATGTGAAATATTTTATGAGACAGGAGATAGTTGTTTACTCATTTACATTATCTCATGCTTATTATATCCACAAAAATGAGGTTTGATATTTTTGCGTGAATAAAAAAAGAAGATTCCAACAATAGTAATATTTTATCAAGATAATTTTGATTATTTTATTTTTTAAAGCTACGAAAGAATACTAGGGATTGATGAGCATGTCCATAATCAATTGTTGGAAGATATACTTATTTATTTGTGCTTGCCTATTTTTTTTTTTAATTTTTTTGATGATTTTTGTCGTCGACTACGGCATCTATTTAATGAACCCAACACAAAAGTTGACGAACATCCACTTTTGTTCATGGTCATTCGTCCATCGTAGCGTCGGAGAAATGAACCCGACACACAGATCCACTTGCCTTAGTTTTTACGATTATTCGTCGACTTTGTCGTCGATCTACTGAACGTGACGTTCAAACGACAAAACTCAAGGTTTATTTTCCTTTACAAAGTTGACTAATCTTAATTTTTTTAAAAATAATTCTCATTGATTCGAATTTTGAGATGAAGAACCAGACAACAAAGTAGATGTAACTTAAATTTATTTTTTTTTCCGTCAATTTAGTCATCGAGATAAAGAGTTTGATGACTGGGTTGCCAAGACTCAATTTGACGGTAAGATTTTTCATCGAATTTTATGCATCAATATAAAAATACCATGAATATGTTGTCAACCTTTAAGTTGTATATTATTCTTTTCCTGTCCAACCATTAAGATAAAGAGCTTGGTGACCATGTCGAGCGACAAAACTAAAGGCTCTGTTTGGTTGGATTGAATTGGATCCAAGAATTAGAATTGAAGTCCTTCAATTCCAATTCTTGTGTTTGGCTGACAAAAATAGAGATTTCAGAATTAGAATTATAATTTAAGATAAGTCTCAATTCTTTATTTTTAATTCTTTTGTGGGTACAAATAATTGCAATTCAAATTCCGAGGGGTTTAAAAAAAGCGCGGGTCCAAACCGGGGCAAAACCAGGTTATAAAAAAACGGGTTAAATATCAAGCAAATTGAAAAAATGGCTGGCACGTGAAACTCACGCACCACAAGGAAGCTCCCTCTTTCACGCGCAAAGGCCTTTTGTTTTTTTTTGATTTTTTTAATTAATTTTTTGGTCTCCTTCCTAATCCGCACAATGTGTGCTTCTTTTTTTTTTTTGTGGTTTTGGTCTATTTCTCTATTTTTTAAAAGTATTTGCATAATGAATTAAAAAATATGATATATATATATAATATTGTGATAGTTATCAAATCAGCAAAATCTATCTCTTAACCCAATATGATTTTTTTTTTTTGCAAAAATTTTATTAAAATATTTCCATACCCAAAATAAATTTAAAAATATTGATGAGTAATTGCATTTTCTTCAGTCAAGGAAGATTTATATAATTGTAAATGATTTATACATTTTGTGCACTAAAACTAATACTTTCTTGGTCTGAAAATGATTGTTCGCTTTAGATTTCACTATAAATAAAATTTTAAATTGGACAATTATTTTAGGATTAAAAATTAAAAAAACTAAAGATTAAAAATTTATAAATTAACAAAACGGAGATGTTACTTGTGAGAATTCCAATCATCACATTAATATTCCTTACGTAATAATAATAAATTTTTTTTTCCAAAAGTATGTAAGTATCTAGTAAATTATAAAATTGATATATATATATATATATTACTCATACAATAAAAGTTCTAATATAAATGTATATAATAAATTTATTTATTTTTTATCTTATATATGTAAGTAATAAATTACTTTGATATGAAAAATTAAGTATTTCTTTTACTCAATGAAATAAAGTACTAAATTATAGTTAGATATTAAAAAAACTAATTCTAATTCTAGATTTTATAAATTTATAAGGATCCAAACACAAGAATTAGTATTAGAACCTTAATTTTAGCAATTCTTAAGATCTTCCAAACAAAGGAATTAAGATTGAATTACAATCTTAATATCTCATTTTCAATTTAATAGTATTGTAATTACAATTCAATTATAATTCAATCTAACCAAACGGAGGCATAAGAAAATTGATATCAAATATTATTCGTCAATTTAAGCATCCAGATAAAAAAAGTCTACTGCAAGTCGATGAAACTTAACTTTATAAATATTGTTCGATTTAGGCATTGAGGTAATGAAAGTGATGAAAACAATTGATGAAAATATAGTTCGCCGACATATGCATGGAAAAAGGAGTCAAACAACCAATTCGGCAAAACTCAATTTTAAGTTTATTTTTTTTCGTCGACTTTTCCGTCAAAATAAAAACCCAAAGAACAAGTCGACGAACATCGATTTTATGTTTTTTATTTCGCCAACATTGGCGTCGGGATATTTAAGCCGACATAAAAGTCGACAAAAACCAATTTTATGTTGAATTGTTCGTTGGCTTAACTGCCAACAAAAAAGCTTAACGAAAAACTCGACGAACACTGATTTTTTGTTTAATTGTTTCTTCGGCTTATCCGTTGACTTAAAGAACCCAACTACAAAGTCGACGAACACTAATTTTTTCTTTAATTGTTCGTCGGCTTATCCGTCGACATAAAGAACCCAACTACAAAGTCGACGAACACTGATTTTTTTGTTTAATTGTTCCATCGACACAAAGAACCCAACTACAGAGCCGGCGAACACTAATTTTATGCTTATTTTTCCGTCGATATATTTACGCGTGTTTTAAATACGTCTTCTAGAGATTAAAGAAGAGTGTAGTTTGTAGAATTATTTTAACTTTAAAAAAACGAATTCTAACTTTTGGAAAGGGGGAGTAATTAAATTCACTAGTTCACTCCATCTATGAGGGGGGAAATAAGAAAGAAAGTTGGTTCTGGTCTCTTCAAATCAATCATGTCTATTAAAGCTTCAGAATCAGTGTAAAAGTAGAAACACAATCATTGTAGCACTGCAAGAAATTTCCATCTACTTCCCTGGCTGGTGGTTTTTGCCTTTATGTATAGATATTGGTTCGTGACTCGGTATATACATAATGCATATATAGAGATGGAAGTGCTCCACTAAGGTAGTGCAACTGGTTTTTCGACATGAAAGTAATGTTAAAAAGGTTGTACGAAAGTGGAGTGGTACAGCCATTTTTTCAGGGAAGAAAAAGGAATTTTTTGGGGCAGGTTAGGTATTCCTCCATTTCAGGGCTGTTATTAAGTTAAGAGCCTTTTGACTTTCTTCAGCATCTTAAGCTTAAACAAATCGTTCATGGCATCAGAAAAGTATCTGAAGCTTTGATGTATAAATACAGAAGAATATGATGTGATCACAACTTCATAGAAGCAGAGGGAAAAAAATATCTTCAAAGAATGCAAATTGATAATGGCAAGGGTCGCGGGCCGAATATTGGTGTTCTTTTCGATTTTAATCATTGCTTTGTCTTCCTCCCTTGAGTCTTGGAAAGCTCATGGTCATCCAACATCAGGTACTAATACACTGATCATCCATTAAAGCTGTTGAACATTTCCCTATGATTATACTAATTTTGTTTCAGGGAGAAAACCTTCTTTGTTGTATGCAAGTAGTGAACTTGAAGCAGGAGATGATTTCAGCCAGGTAACAGAAGGCCTAATTAGTTCAAGTTCTGATTTTGTTGCTTTTTTTTTTTTTTTGGATTGAAATGGTGTTTGCCCTGTATCCAAAAGCAGAGTAAAGATGATGCAAATGAAGAGATGAAGTTCATAAGTCGTAGGATTGGGTTCCAATACAACGACTACCCTGGAACTGGAGCAAATAATCATCATATGCCAAAACAACCACCCGGGGGAGATTACTGATAAATAAGCATCATGTTTTTTTTAGCTTTCATCCTTAATGTTTTGGTTTCAAACCCCTGTAGGAAAGTGATGAATTTGTAACATCTAGTTTAAGGATTCAAACATGGTTGTATACTATACAATTTGACCATCGTGTTCATTCTGGCAAAGCCAAAGTTTCCAAACAAGTGCAGAAGAAGATTGAGTCAATCAATTACATGTTCAAACGCACGACGCGCTTTAAAAATATGTTATTTTTAGTACAACAGACATGATTGATAGACGGGAAGTACTTTTGAGTTTGGCCCTAATGATCCTCAACGACATGCTGAAGATTTACTCCAAATTTAGTGGGGGGGATTAAAAATACACGCACCAAAGAAAGTTTCAAATCAAACAAAAACTTGAGAGTAAATTATCAATGCAGCCCACAAAGAAAATGTAGATGCATGTAACACAAAGTGTCATCAACTGTGTATCTATTCAATTGGAAGGAGTGGATTGTAGGTGCCTGCCACTCAAAACCCGATGGATATCATTTCAACCTCTTTTCTTTCTTCTCGGCGGATAAAATCATTAGGGCTCACAAACAAACACACATTCTAAGATTTGGTTTTTTATTTTAATTTTGATACATCAAAAATCTTCTAGAAAATGTCAAAAAATTGTGTATTGACAGTATTAAAAAAAAATATATATTATAATTAATGAAAAATTGGTAGGTACGGTCACAATTCACTTATGGAGGAAAAAATGTTCTTAAGTTTTATAGTTTAGGTCTGTAATTAAAATGAGTATTGAAAAGTTTCAGGGAGTTTTAACAGGGAACGGTGTATTTGAATTTTAACTAATCCCTTAACCTTTAAATGAATAAACCCGTAAAAACACGTTTTAATTATGGATAATTATGATTCACTGCATATTTTTTCTTATAAATTTTTCCTGCAATAACTGTTTCTCAATTAAAAATATGTAGATATTTTTCGTATTCATTTTGTTTTTGTGTTCATGGGTCTGGTTTAAAGCCCATAAAAGACACAAGCAATGGGATGAAGAGGGCCGATTCTATTGAACCACATTAAAAATTTGAAATAGATTCTCAGCCCAAGAGCTTAAAGTTTTTGGTGCACAGTTCAGGCAATTTTCAATCTTGGCAATCAATTGTGAAAAAAAGACTAATGTCCAAAGAATGTTCCACCCTCTATCCACATACTAGTTTTTTAGGCGGACAAAATATTGACTGTACCTAAACGAATGAAGTAATCACAACGGAAAAAAAGAAGAAGTTAGTAGACCAAACAATAATGTAGAGGGGCCATTAATAATTTGTTGTTTGAACCTACTGTATACGGTTTTTAAATGAATGATTATACCTTTTATCCTTACATTCAAGAAATGGGGTCTTTGACAGAGATATGACCATGCCAGGTAGTAGTCATTTCAGGAATCGAGTCATGTCCTGGTGATTAGGCGGTTGTACCTTTAACCGCGAATTTGAGGATTCGATTCTTATCGCGGACGCCGGAAGTATACAGCTGAATGAAGAAGCAGGTAGCTGACCAGCAGCCATCTTAACTAGGCAGGAAGCCTGCAATCATCTGCTACGGAGGACTGGACATCCCGAGCAAGAAGCGCACGCGAGTAGAGTCTCTCCCTAGTAGTACTATCCCCTTTCCCAGTATCTTATCCCTGTTATAATAGTCTAGGTACCTCTAAAGCATTAATAGGTGCAGCATAAAAAAAAGAAAAAAGGTTGTAGTCATTTCTAAACATTTTTTCAGATCAAGAAGGGAACATCCATCAGCCAGGTGAATGAAACTAAATAATCATATGCCTCTACAATTTATAGAGTGGGATTGTTGGATTCAAACTTCTCCAAATCATTACGTTGTATTTTTCGATGATTAGTTCAACAAAGAAGACTATTATATTTTTTTGAATATAAGAAAATATTTTCTTTGGTCCTAATTATAATTAAGACATAAATTAATACTAAAATTGATTCATTTTTGTAACTTATAATCAAGACTAGAAGGAGTATATGTTAATTTTCAACCTACTATATATGCAGAAACTCTTTTCGGAAACAACATCTGTAAGTTCATTGTCTCATTTTCCTTGCTTCCTTCTCATACTTCATTTCTCTTTTAAACTCCAACATAAATTGTGTAAGAGTGACACATTGCGCACGTCATTTTCAATTGGCACTCAGCAAGCATCACTGAATTTTCCTTTCCTTTGGCTGAGGGAAATAGAATTTTCTCAAAAATATTCTTTAAAGAGATGATGACAAGTTCCCTTTTCTTTTATTTCCTCCCCTTTTTTCTTGATTCCTGAGGCCACATTCCTCTCTCATCACCTTCTTTTTTTTTTTTTTGGGGGATCTTTTTCTTCCGAATTTTAGGATTTCCAAAGATTTCTTCTCACTGATCCTTTTTCCTTTTATTCTTCTTCTTCCTTCCCCCCCCTCATAATTAATAATCCCTAGCTAGCACCCTCATTTTTGTGAGATTTTTGTGGATGGGACCCTCAAATTAGAGTAATATTAATAATTGATCGATTAGGGTAACTTTTTTTTTTTAAGAAGGATGATCACTTTTTGATTCACTGCATGATTCTTGCTTCTTCCAGCTGCTCCTCTATCCTAAAAATTCCAAAGTGCCCAAAGGGCCGTTTGGCATCATCCCAGAATCTCCTTTACTCGTTATGGAATATTTTAAAGCTAATCCAAAGAAGAAAAAAAAAAGAAAAGCGAGCTTATTCAAGTACAGCAGAGAGTGATGTTTTAACTTTAAAGCCAAAGCTAAGCCTACACATCTTTCCCTTGATTTTATTGCTTCTTCTTATTTAATTTTCAACCATTTTGGGGGCCGTGGATTTTGATCATATGAAATCTCCCTCTTCATAATTATTATTCCTTGCTTCAGATTAGAAGCAATGCTAGCTTTCACATATATAGTGGAGTAATAATGGAAAAGATAACCAAATTATTGCAATGAGACACTGGCCCAAGCAACTGAATCGCATGTTACTACTGAAAACGTACTACCCCAATTGGTCCAAACACTAATTCGATCTAAACTTACACATGATATACAATTATGTTCACTTCTACAGCTGCATATGAAAACGTACTACCCCAATTTGTATATTTATCGTCTTATTTGATTCACTGTTTCTGTCATTAGTCGTCACTACTATAGTGGTTAACGTTTTTCTTTTTTAAGATTAGGTTTTGGTCAATTAATGAATGGAGGAGACAATGAGATATTGCATGGCACTAAGAAGGCAAATGCTTTGATCAAAATTAATCATTGGATTTTGATTCCAATGATCATCAAGCTATAGGTAGAAGGAACGAAGGAACACTAACTAGCTAGCAACAAGTTTTGAACGAAGCCCAAGAAATTCGAACTCGATCTAATCCGTAATTGACTTTTACGATTTCTTGTTTGCCATTTGTGTTTGTGTTTTTCTTTTATCTTTCGTGCGTGTGATCTTTTGCACTTTGCAAGGTGCCCTTCTTCTTTTTCTCCCCCTTTTTAGAATCTGAGATTGCTGTGTTAAACACGTTAATCAAATCAATCCCAGGTGTGTGTCGGTTTGATTTGAAGTGTAAAAGAAAGCTAACCCTTCTCCTCATTTTAGATTCTGGATTGATCAATAATGTATACTAGATAGTACTATTTACACCAAGTTTCATCCCATTTGTTTTATTGTCTGTGTAGTCAATCACTTCTCTTTTTTGGTTGATGATCAAGATCATGACCCAAAAAGACGCACAAACCCTTTGGATTGTGGAGCGTGGACCCTTTCCATAATCCCTCCCTCCCTTTTATTTTTCTTTTTAAATTAATTAAAGGGTTTATTTTGGAGCAAGAAGAAATGATGTATGAATCGTATTTCATTAATCAATTTAAGCGAGAATTGATCCCTCGACCTTAAATGAATCGCTGATAGTCTTATCATCAATTTCCAGAACGAATCGCTTACAAGCTACATTTGTACAGTTGGGATAAGCTGTGGTACATAACACATGCAAAGTAGTTTATCGTCACAAGCTTCATAACAATGGTGCCCGACACTTTTCAATAAAAATGGATGGGAAAAATGGTGGAAGCAATTAGATGGGGTCATTTATACATGATGATGAATTTCTTTTAGTCTTATCGTTTTGTAAAAGTACTTTTTTTGATAACATAAATGGAGCAAGTTTGTCCTAAAATCTATTTGCTAGATTCCTTGATTCCTTCAACCCTACAACGAAACAAAAAGAATCTGCCAATCCCACCACACCCCCCTCCTTGAAAAAAAAAAAAATAATAATAATAAAGGAAGAAAAGTGTAAAAGAGGAAAGGAAAGAACCATAGTCTTGAAAAAGGACAACTTGACTTAGGATTACATCTTTCTTCTTTAGTATAAATTCATAATTCATTCAACCAAAAAAATCATAAACACAAACCTCACAAATTAGAATATTTTGAGCTGGATATTAAGTAGTAAAACAGTAGTTAATAGGTTGTTGATCAATTGTATTGAGCATGTTAGTAGATTGCAGACCTCAAAAACGTACATATTTAGTTTAAATTGTATTGAGCATGTTAGTAGATTGCAGACCTCAGAAATGTATATATTTAGTTCAAATTGTATGGAATTTCAAACTGATTAATAATTTTAAGACGGAGGAAGTATATTATTGATTGACCACGAGACGGCTTCAAAGGGTGTACATAACTCTCTTCATTAGTTTATTTTTAATTTCAGCCATTTTACATTAAAAACTTTCCACACGATGACATGAATTTGAAGCTTGTGGCATTTTTCTAAAAGGTTCAATGCCATCATGGTGGGGTCTGCCGAATTACTCAAGGAATCAAGCAAAGATCAAATACTAAAAAGAGAGATGATGAATAAAGAAACGAAAATCGGTAATAGGGGTTGGAAATTAAAACAGAAGAATAAAAACAAACCTTCTACTTTTTTTCATCTTTTCTCTCCTTTTGAGACCCAAAATTCAAGTGTGTGTGTGTGTGCGCGCTTCTTTCTCTGTTTTGCTGCCCTCCCAAAAGAGATTCTCTTCATCCTTTCAAGTCAAAGAAGAAAGTGCAAAAACATCAAAACCTAACAAAAAACTTGGAATGAAACTCAACACACACAAAAAAAAGAAAGAAATGATATGAAATGGGAAATGGAGAAAGAGGAGAAGAGGGCCACAGGTGATAGAGAGCATATATTCTTTCTTCCAACAGAACCTCAGTAATGTTTCCTGATACGGAGTGAGAACATAAGACAGAAACGACCCAACAACTCCTCCAAACCCCCCATAATTTATATGTATATATATACAACTATAAATGTACTAGCTGCCACATGTGTTCAGGCAAAGAGTTGTAGTTTCAGATCATCAAACACTACCTAATTTACATCATCATCCTATATATGTTTTCCTTTCTTCAACCTAAATATAGTAAAAATACCGCATTTTTCTGATCCCTGTTGAGAAAATGGCTCTTAGAAATATTCAGAACAAAGACTCGGGGGGGTTAGTGTTATCTAGTGATGCGAAACCGAGGTTGAAATGGACACCAGAACTTCACCAGAGGTTCATTGATGCTGTTAATCAGCTTGGAGGTCCAGATAGTTGAGTAAAAAACAGTTCTTTTTGAATCGGATTGCTGATTTTCTGCATAAGTTTTGAAAACTCATGTTCTAATGTCAATTTTTAATTCTGTGATGCAGAGGCAACACCCAAATCATTAATGAGAGTGATGGGCATTCATGGTCTCACTCTGTACCATCTCAAGAGCCACTTACAGGTTTGTCTGTCATTCCTCCTGATTGTTCTCTTTTTTATGCAAAGTTTTGATGTTCATTCATTTGTTGATGAAAATGGCCTATTGATGATTGTCTTCATTCATGAAGAAATTTAGGCTGGGAAAAAGTCAACCACATCATAATGAAAATAAGCCAAAAGGTAAAAACATCCATCTAAAAGTCTAAACATTGTATGCGATTTTCTTCAAAGTTTGATGTCTCAACTAGAGCTGATGATTTGGTTAATAATATGTTGCAGAAGATGATGGAGAGAGTCAGATGATCAGTCCCTTCATTGCTGAAATAAGTGATGGAACTCAGAATACTATCCATGAGTAAGTAATAATTTATTGTTACAAGAAATCCTTAATTCATTTGATGAAATTGGATTCAATGAGAAAGAATTTTACTGATGTAAAGATTTTTTGCCTTATACAGGAGCACTCAGATAGCCAATGCTCTTCAAATGCAAATGGAGGTACAGAGGAAACTCTATGAACAAATTGAGGTAAACCTGAACCCATATCTCAGGTAGTTTTTTTTATCTAAATCCATCACCGTTTTATAACATGATAATCAATAATGGATATCCAGGTTCAAAGGCATTTGCAATTGAGAATTGAAGCACAAGGAAAGTATCTACAATCAGTCCTTCAAAAGGCACAGGAAACACTAGCAGGTTATAATTCATCTCCAATGGGGGTAGAACTTGCCAAAGCAGAACTCTCTCAGCTGGTCTCAATGGTGGAGATGGGTTATCCAAATTCTTCGGCGTCAGGCGTGACGGAAATCGCGGGATCAATGCTTAAAGAACTGGAGAATAAACAGCAGACTGTCAATGGATGCTCAGTGGAAAGTTCTCTAACATCATCTGAAAGCTCAGGAAGAAAGGAAATGAGCCAGCACTTATTAGCACATGATGAAAGTGATGAAGCCGACAAACAAAGCAGAAATTCCGTGGTTCTTCCATTGATGGAAATGCAGCCAGGACAGAGTGGCGGGTCAGACAACGGAGCTAATGATAGAAAGAGGAATTGTGGCAACATTGGTGTTGAAAAACCATTAGCTAAGAGATTGAACTCCCATAAAAATGATGAACAAGTACCAAGAAAGTTTGGACTCCTGGAAACCTTGGATTTGAATAGCAAGTATCTGAATGACTTCGATTCAGGCCCGGCTAAAACGCTGGATTTAAATTGCCAGGGAGTAGACTATCATCCGAATGGGTACAACTAGTGACTGAACGCTGTTTGCTGGTTATATCAGAAGCATATTTCAGACAAGAACTGGTCTATATAGATATTAGATTGTGTCTATAAAAGCAATGTAAATGCAAAATTATGTACCGCACCCAAGAGAATTTAGCAGCATTATATACGAATTATATAGTTTGATGACAAGTATTTCATTCCCATAGCAACATTTTACTCGGATAGATTGCATAAGTGGCAATACAATAAAACTTGCCAGATCAATCATGTGTACAGATACACATATTCTTTCCTATTATCCATCATCTACTGAAAGCCTTTCGACACGGAAGAAGGGATCAAAGCCGGGATTCAAAAGAATCCATTTCCTTGCTTTATTCTAATGGACCGTAAACGCAGAGGAAGGATCCAACAACAGATTCTAAGTTCTAAGAATCCCTCTACTTTTTTCTTTGGAATGGACAGGAATATAGAACTTATTTACACGGATTGGAAACTTCAAGAAACCATCCCAGCAGGAAGAATTATTTACCTTTTTTTCCGTCAAGATTTGCCCAACATTAGGGGATATAAATCTATCTTCACTTCTTCAGAAGGGCAGTTATTGTAAGACGCATTACGGTTCTCATCTATTCAAAACGTTAACATATATATATTGCTTAACCTTCAAATTTACCATCATATCTAAAAAAGCTTGTGATTCAGAAGTTAATGCAGAGCAATCAAGAAGTCTCAGCACTACTTTGAGGCTATGCGGAAACTCTGACCAATCGCAAGTGGTCAGCACCTCAGCGACTTGTTCCCTCCTTCCCAAATTAAAAGTACTTAGTTTAATACAACAAATAGGACTCGTATTTTATTATTATTTTTTATTTTATGGAAGTTAATTGACTTATTCCCTCTGTCACAAATTAAAAATACTTAGTTTTAATACAACAAAATACACTTAGTTTAACAACAAATACGACCCTTAATTTTTTTTTTTTTTGGGATTGAAGCATATTTAATGTACCAAGCGCCTTTGGTATTAGTAAATGGGCTGGTTTTCTTAATAACAATTCAACCTGCTCAAAACATCTGGAATCTGCTCCATCAACTGAAAGTCTAAAACGATGGGTTGGTATGATTTGGTCTGTGTTTTCTCCAGAATAGAATACTCATTTTGTACGCAATTTGCAAATTTTTATATAGAGACTCAACTTTTCATTCGCTCACATTTCTAAATTCTAACATTATGCCATCTCAAGAACTTTGATCAGCCATTTCATCAAAAAGGTTTTCATGGTGACAAAATGACAAAATCATTGAGACTAATAACAATCATCACTAACAAAACCATCATTACTGCAAAAGGAGAAAAGACACAGACAACGAATGAAATTCTCATTGATTGCCAACTCAACTGCTGCTCAGTATTTACATTCAGAAGAAACCCCCTAAAGAAAGAGAAATCCCAACAAAACAAACAAAATGCCCCCTAAAACTTTTGATTTCCAGAATCTAAGACGGAATTCCCTTTTGATTTCCAACTCTACTATTTAGTATTTACATTCAGAAAAGCCCCAAGAGGGAAAAAAAAAAAAATTCCCCAAAAATTTCGATTTTGAGAATCTAACCCTAAAATTTCCTGATCAAGAGTTGTTGGTGTTGTTTGGGGAAGAACAGTACAACACCATAGACGAACGAAACTGGGGAATCACTCAGTTGATCAATCCAAATCGCTATCCTCGCTACTCCTACCACGGTTACCGTTTCCACCAAAACTAAAGCTAAACCAAATCTGTCTCCCTCTTCCACTATTGTTCTCTCGGTTTTCACCTTCTTTGGAACTCCCTCCGGCGTTCTCCTCAACCGGCATCTTGTACCTGCAAACAGGGCAAGTCCCATGAACTTTGAGCCACTTCTCAATGCATTCCCCGTGGAACCTATGCTTACACGGCATCTCTTTCCCAACTTTCCAGGCTTCCAAGCATATCACGCACTCTTCCCCTTCTTCGTGCTCATTGATTTCCACCACAGGCATGGCTTCCATGGAAGCTTTCGAAGCAGGGGGTTGACCATCCTTACCAAACAAATCACTCAACAAAGACTCCAAGGTCGAAGTGCCTGAATTACCGTCACCCCTGCTGCTGTTTTCAATCACAACCATTCCCTGGGTAAATGGGTTAATCAGGATGATCCGATCGTTCGGCCCGAGTGAAGGCGGAGGAGAGTTGTCGTTGTCGGCTTCGTTTTCGCCGGATTCTTGAACTGGGGTTGAGGAATCCGCATCTGGGTTTGCGACGGCGGCGGAGGCCCGGTCGTGCAAAAGGGCAAGCATCAAAGGGAGAAGAAGGGCGAGATCTCGGTTTCTTGAGCTAATCAGACGCTCAATCAGGGAAGAAAGTGATGGCTCAGAAGACTCTGTTTCTGAAGACATTGTGGAAGAAATCTCTCTGTTTTTTGTTGGGTGAATTCGACGAATACGATTACGATTACGCTAAAAAGATAAAAGAGTATTAGAATGATGAACTTGGGCGAAAAATTTCTGGGTTTATTATATTGGGGGTTCAAGGGGAAGAATTGGGTTTGGAAACTGCAATGGAAAGTTGTGGAATGATCTAGAAAATGGCGACATAGTGCAAAAATGTTGCTGTAGGAGTAAGAAAAAAATTAAAAATAGTCAGTAATGATTTATGATGATGTTTATCTGATTGAATGCCAGGTACGATAGATATTTTGCTGGGGATTTGTTAACCTACCAACGCGTCCAGGGTTGTTCTCGTACTCTCCCAGCAAGAAATTGTACTGAACGAAGGGGGGCTATATTTGTACTTTCAGCCATTTAATAGTTGTGCGGCAGTAACAAACCTTTGGGCTTCTTTCATAGCAGATCATATAGAATTGGGCCATGCGTTTAATTGATTTTCGTATCCAAACAACCAGTGTGACATTCCTTTGAGTTTTTTTCCCCCCTTTTTACCTTTTTATTTCTTTTGACCAAAGAGTTTGAAAGTTGCAGTAAAATAAAATAAAGGTTGTTATGAATAAGCTATTTACCAACGTATGTATTAATGCAGTAATTTTTTATGCATATAAAGCAAGATAATTTTATGAATAATTTTATGACGAGGAGGAGGAAGACCAAACATTACATTAAGAGTAACATAATTATAATGCGATGATAAAGAAATGACTTTGTCCTCTTTATAGTAACATTATTAACGGATGCCATTATGTTTACTTAATCAACATTGAGAGTTGATTCTTTTTTACTGTGAGTAATCTATCGTAAATGTATTCAAACTCAAATTTACATGGGATGATCGAACTCGCGAGTCTCGCACTATCATGTGTATTTTCGCATTACTCGAATAAATAAATATCATACTACTAATGAAAGATTGCGTACGTAGTTTCCTAACATTTAGAACAATTTGACTCTAACGAATGTGGAGATGATGAGGGCTAAAGCCAAGCAGCCCAGAAGAAAATTACAAGATTGTTTACACAGCCGTGAATCGCCTTGCCTCGGGATCGGGGAGATGTCGGTCGCCGGCGAGGATTCGTACGAAGAAGTGTTAGCATAAGCCATACTCCTTAACTGGTTTATCTCGACCACAAATACCCTGGGTTCTTTTGCAAACCTCACATTCTTCGCTATTTTGTTGCAAATTTCACATACTCTGCATCATAATAAATTCAAAAGGCGCGACAACAAATTACTATATATTATATATGTGGAAATAGAACCTTTTATATGTTCGTTTCAAAATAAGAGTCGTGTCTTTTTTTACTGAAACAATATACTAGATACGATTCAAATCTTGAGACAGATGGAATATTACATTAGAAAGAAATCACGGCAACCAAAATTACCTGTTTCCTTTGTGCTTAAACCAAGCCTCGGCACAATGGCGATGAGAAAGTCCAAGCTCCTCTTTACAATTGCAGCCAAGTTGTATGAGTTCAGGGCTCCTTGACGAAGATTGTTCATTATTCAAATGACAAATTCTGCAAAGCTTTTCAATTCCGGCGGCTCCGGGATGCTCTTCTTCCAATCTCACATCAACCGCATCTATAACTTGATTATTATCCACAGCACTGCCATTTTTTTCTTTCGAACAAGAGGGAAATTCGTCATTTTCTAAGTGATCTCTTCCAGATGATGATGATGATGACGTCTCATCTCGCCCGCTAGCTTGATTCAGTTTTGATTTGGGTTTGCAGTCTGAATGATCTGCATCCATTTGTGGGAAATGGATGTTAATTGGGTGGATTAGATGATCCAAACTGAAACAATTATTTTTCTTTGTCTAAGAAATGGAGATTGTGACTTTAAGAAGTAATGGAATAAATGTCGTTGCTTGTGACAAGGGACTTAGTTTACCAGAATTGGAGATTTTTTTGGGCAAATATTTGATTGGATCAGAATCTCTTCTTTACTTTACGATATGACATTTAACATGCTTTACTCAAATCCAAGTTTCGTGGGTTGGCAAAGGAATCTTTTTTACTCTTTTATATGAACTGCCATTAAGACATTATTATAAATCAATAACTCTAGTAACATGCTTTGCTTCAATACTGGATATCGTGCGCTTGTAAATGTAGGAGCCTTTTAATCTAGCATTTTACTTCCAATTCCTCCGCCAAAGTAAGTTTTAATTTGTCAATAATGTGTATGTATCTTCACAATGGAACTGTTGGAAATTTTAGTTTGTAAAATAAAATAATTAATTTAAAATTGAAGGATAAAATTAAGTTGGCAACCCTTCACATGATTGGTGGTTATTTCCTACAAGCCAAGGGTTATGTACTTATTTTGTATCCTTTTATTTCTGCAAATGTTGCCTATAAATAGGTGAACTAGTGCAGGAATTTATTTTAACTTTTGCATTCCAAAATCCTGAAGAACATTCAATAAGTTGCAAATTGCATGTTCTTGTGTTCTTAAGTCCTAAAGGCAAATTGCCATTCAACCCTGTTTGCAATCTAGTGGGGGCAAATATTGTCTTAAGGGCAGTGTTTGACACGATTAGAGCACTTTCAATTCTTTGTGAATTTCTTTTTGTTGTTGAATTTCAGATTCCATCAATAAAGTTTCTTTTCTCCATCTTTGTTCTTTGGTTCATATTGTGTTGTTTCTTTTGTTTCCATCTCCCGATTTCTTTCAATCTTAAGACAATATTTATCATGGAATCAACACAAGAGTCTGCCATGAAAGTGATGAACCAAGACTTTGTTAAGTTGGATCGTCTTGATGGATCTGGCACTAACTTTAACCGTTGGAAGGACAAGTTGATGTTCTTTCTCACGGCCTTGAAAGTGGCTTATGTTCTAAGCCCCAATTTGGAGGAGATTCCACCGCCTGTGAAAGGGAGTATGCAAATCAGAAACAAGGGGCAGATAAGTTTCTCATTAAAAACTACTTTGAATTTAAGTTACTTGCTAATTCTCCTCTTATGGATCAAATTCACAATCTCCAAGTTATAGTATCAAAACTAAAAGACATTGGTGTTGAAATCTCAGAATCTTTGCAAGTTGGGGCAATTATTGCCAAGTTGCCTCATACTTGGGAACGATTATCAAAAGAAACTGTTGCACAGTTCTGAGAATTTGACTGTGTCTAATGTTTTGAAACACTTGAGAATTGAAGAAGGGGCAAGGCTTCTTCAAGACTTGGAAATTGGAGAAAATTCTAATAAAGGGAATTTTGTGACTGAAAATGGGGCCAACAAAAATAAGAGGAAGAAACCTGGAAATTCTAATGACAAGAAAAAGGATAAAAAATATTTCAACTGTGGTGTAAAGGGTCATTTTAAGGCCGATTGCAAGTCTAACAAGAAGCAAAAGGGAAATAACATCCTAAGTGCAAATCTTGTTGAAGATAGTGCAACGGTTGTGGCGGTTATCTCGCTTGGAACCGTGACCGAGTTGAACATGGCAACACCACTTCCTTCCAAGGATTGGTGGTATGATTCTGGGGCTGGAATTCATGTGGGCAATGACAAGGATCAGTTTAAGAACTACGTTGTTCTTGAAGGACATGAAGTTGTAATGGCAAATGGTGTTAGGGCTCAAGTTCAAGGCAAAGGAGAAGTGCATTTGCAATTCACCTCGGGAAAGAAACTAGTCCTAACTAATGTACTTCATGTTCCTAGTCTTGTTAAGAACCTTGTATCAGCCGACATCCTTAATAAAAAGGGATTGAAGGCAGTCATTGAATCTGACAATGTAATCTTGTCAAAGAATGGGGTGTTTGTAGGAAAGGGGTACTCTTGTAATGGCATGTTCAAGTTGAGTATCAATAAGATGAATGATGTTTCTATTTATTCGATTGAGTCTTCTTATTTTCTTTGGCATGGTAGATTAGGACATGTGAGCCATAAAGTTGTTTCTTTTATGTCTAAAAATGGCCTAATCAATTTAAGTGACTTGGAAAATAAGAAATGTGAAACTTGTGTGCAAGCCAAAATAACAAAGTTACCATTTCCTAAAGTTGAAAGAAATACATCTTTGCTTGAATTGGTGCATTCGGATGTATGTGAACTTAATGGATTTCTAACTAGGGGAGGTAACAAATACTTTGTGACTTTCATAGATGATTGTTCAAGATTTGTGCAAGTTTATCTAATGAAAACAAAAGATGAAGTATTTGGTATGTTTAAAATTTACAAGTCCCTAGTTGAGAATCAATTAACCAAGAAAATATTTTGAGAAGTGATAGAGGAGGTGAATACTTCTCGAATGAATTCTCAAAATTTTGTGAAGATAATGGTATTGTGCATCAAACTAGTGCACCTTATACACCACAACAAAATGGTTTGGCTGAAAGAAAAAATAGAACTCTATGTGACATGGTAAATGCTATGTTAGTGAGTTCTGGATTGCCAAATAATTTGTGGGGTGAAGCTTTATTGGCTGCATGTCATTTGCACAATAGAATTCCGTCCCTTAGGACTAAAATGTCACCATATGAAATATGGAAGGGAAGAAAACCAAATCTGAATTATGTGAAGGTTTGGGGTTGTGTGGCCTATTATCGTGTCCCGGATAACAAAAGAACAAAGTTGGGACCTAGAGCACTCAAAAGTGTGTTTGTGGGCTACGCTGAAAATTCTAAAGCCTATAGGCTACTAAATGTTGATTCTAATGTTATTGTAGAATCAAGAGAAGTGCAATTTTTTGAGAATTTGTTTCTCAAAGATTCAAAAGTAAGTAATGGTCCTCTTTATGTGCCTAATACTACTCAAAATGTGGCAATTCCAAGTAGTTCTTTTAGTGAGCTCAAAAGGAAAGAAAATGATTCTCCTATGAAACCAAGAAGAAGTGGAAGGCAAAGGAAAGAAAAACAATTGCCTTCGGACTTTATATCTTTTCAGGCTATTGTTTTCTTAGTTGAAGGCAATAGGGATTCTGTACTTAGCAAAACTCCAATTTTGCTTAGTGTAGAAGAAGATCCAAAAACTTTTAGAGAAGCTATGAATTCAAGAGATGCCACATTTTGGAAAGAAGCAGCCAATGATGAAATGGATTCAATATTATCTAATAATACTTGGGTTCTAGTTGACTTGCCTCAAGGCTCTAAGCCAATTGGGTGTAAATGGGTATTTCGAAGGAAATATGCCACAAATGGAACTATACTTACTTATAAGGCAAGACTAGTAGCAAAAGGATTTAGGCAAAAAGAAGGAATTGACTACTTTGATACTTATGCACCAGTGGCAAGGATTACTTCGATTAGAGTAATCCTAGCTTTTCCATTTACAATTTACCAGTTCATCAAATGGATGTTAAGACAGCATTTTTAAATGGTGATTTGGATGAAGAGTTGTACATGGAGCAACCGGAAGGCTTTGTGCTACCGGGTCATGAAAACAAGGTGTATAAGTTGGTTAAGTCATTATATGGACTTAAACAAGCCCCGAAACAATGGCATGAGAAATTTGAATCTGTTTTACTTTCACATGGTTTTAGGTATAATCATGCTGATAAATGCATTTATACCAAAGCATGTGATGAGTATACAGCGATCATTTGTCTATACGTTGATGATATGCTCATTGTTGGTACCACATTGAAAGGTGTGGTTGAGACTAAGAAATATCTTTCTTCTAAGTTCCAAATGAAGGATCTTAGTGAAGTAGATACTATCTTAGGAATTAAGGTTAAGAAGAATAGTGAAGGTTTTGTACTCTCTCAATCACATTATGTGGACAAGATACTAACAAAGTATCAACACTTGAATTTGAAGGAAGCATCTTCTCCTTATGATCGTAGCATGAAACTTTGTGTAAATAAGGGTAAACCAATTGCACAACTAGAGTATGCTAGTGTGATTGGAAGCCTTATGTATGCTATGAGTTGTACAAGGCCAGATATCTCTTATGCAGTATGTTACCTTGCAAGGTTTACTCATTGCCCTGGTATGGAACATTGGAAAGCTATCACTAGAATCTTGGGATATCTTAAAAGAACCAAAGATTTGGGACTCTATTATAGCCGATTTCCTAGTGTTCTTGAGGGTTATTCGATGCCGTTGGATATCCGGAAGTAATGAGAAGAACTCCACCGGTGGTTGGTTGTTTTTACTTGGTGGTGGTCCTGTTTCTTGGACATCAAAGAAGCAAACGCTTATAACTCATTCCACTATGGAATCGAGTTTGTAGCTCTATCCTCGGCTTGTAAGGAGGCGAATGGTTGAGAGATCTTTTGTTAGATCTAGAAATTTGGCCGAAACCCATGCCGCCGATAACCTTACATTGTGATAGTGAAGCAACAATGTCTAGAGCATTGAACAAAGTGTACAATGGTAAATCTAGACATATCAGTATAAGACATGAATATGTCAGAGAAATGCTGAACAATGATGTTGTCTCAATTGTGTTTGTTAGAACACACAAAAACTTGGCGGATCCGTTGACTAAACCTCTTGCGAGAGAGTTAGTGGTTTCGACAACATCCGGAATGGGTTTAAAACCTTGTATCTAAAATTACTAACAATGAAAACCCAACCTTCTTCTAGTACTACCCCTAGATTGAAAGGTTTAAAGGGTAATAACAAGTTGTGGATTCCATAGTATTGGTGCATTTATGTTACTCTTAAGTGAGCAGGTTGAGAGCAATCTCTTAATGAAATTATTCATGATTATTCAATTACGGTAAAGTAATGAATTTGAATAAATTTCACCTATTTGACCATAGAAGTGGTGCCGCTTCTAGCAAGAGTTTGAGGTTATCTCTTGTACATGGTCAAGAATCTAGGATGAGCACATGGCCGGTAATAGTGCTAAATAATAATGTGGATTACAAGGAATGCTATGAGTGTTTGCGCGTGAATTATTAAGTCTATACTAGACTGATTATTGGTTTAAGCAACGAGCCACTAATAACTTAGCTAGTTAGGTGACTTAATTCCACTACGATGTGGTTTAAGACAAAAGTCACCACCTCTTAAGCGCGATTCTCATGATTGTGTAATTATTTTATATTACAAACTAAGTGGGGGAATGTTGAAAATTATAGTTTGTAAAATAAAATAATTAACTTAAAATTGAAGGATAAAATTAAGTTGACAACCCTTCACATACTTGGTGGTTATTTCCTACAAGCCAAGGGTTGTGTACTTATTTTGTATCCTTTTATTTCTGCAAATGTTGCCTATAAATGGGTGAACTAGTGCAGGAATTCATTTTAACTTTTGCATTCCAAAATCCTGAAGAACATTCAATAAGTTGCAAATTGCATGTTCTTGTGTTCTTAAGTCCTAGAGGCAAATTGCCATTCAACCCTGTTTGCAATCTAGTGGGGGCAAATATTGTCTTAAGGGCAGTGTTTGACACGATTAGAGCACTTTCAATTCTTTGTGAATTTCTTTTTGTTGTTGAATTTCAGATTCCATCAATAAAGTTTCTTTTCTCCATCTTTGTTCTTTCGTTCATATTGTGTTGTTTCTTTTGTTTCCATCCCCCGATTTCTTTCAGGAACAAGATAATGACTAATGAGATGATAAATTTAACCAAACTCTACTCTTAATTATCGACTATTTTACGGTATTTCGTAAGTATGTACACATTCCACGTCAATCTGTATCTTTTTCTTTTCACACCATTTTTTTTCCCCATCTCTGACTAAACAAATTAGATTTATATTGTAAATTATTATTAGTTACTATGGTTAAGCAAGATTGATCATTGAAATTAGATTTGATTAGTATTTGAGAAAGGTATAATATGAGGAGGTAATATTGTTCAGTTTGGCCATCTTGATTCAGATTTTAGGCAACTAAAATTGGATGGAGGTAGGATTACATTGATTTTCCAATAAAATTATGTACTGTCAACTGAGATAGCACTCTAATCAAAGAATCAAGATTGAAATATTTTGTGAGATTATGTCTAATTTCTTTGTTTTAATTATTTACTACGAATCTCCTCCAACTTACGAGCACAATGAACATTGTTATACAGAACATTGGACATTTCAAAGTTGAAACGATCAACAACGATGAATGATAATCAGAATCGTAATGCCCTATCAAATAACCGTAACATAGCAAACACAATGTAGGACTGGGAAAAGGCCTCCTTTTAAAAAATTCAAATTTCAATTAATATATTTCCATCTTTCAATCAAATTTCAGGTTCACAAAAGGAAACTGAAGAGAAGTGGGCTTCAATATCTTCATCCCTTTCCAGATCGGTGGCGAAGTCGAAGTCGGAGGAGGCATACTCGATGGCGCCGTATTCTTCTTCTTCATCATCATCATCATCATCCCTGAGGTTGAGAACCGTGGCCTTGAAAACCGAATTCCCCATGTCTATCTGCGTTTCTCGGATTTCATCCACAAAACCTTCAAGACGACGACTACTGCCGGAGACCTCAATTTCTCCAAGAGAAGGAGCATTCTGTAAGCAATCAACAGGAATCTGTTTCAACCAACCACAATCTTTCAATACTAACTTCTGGAGGTTGGGAAATTCCTCGTCCGAAGCTGTCCAATTGATGATCATCAGCCTTTGCAACTTCAGGAATCTAAGTTTCGGAAACTGAGCTTCCTCCACGTCCCATGTTTTCCCAATGAAAGAATCATGGAGTAATTTCAGTACCTCCAAATGAGGCAGTTCCGCAATTGGGTTCATTTGTGTCCACAGCAACTTACATCCCTCCAGGCTCAGCTTTTTGAGATTCTTCGGAAAAATAAACACAAATGAATCCCTTGGGAGAGGCTGAATTGACACAGTAAGCGATTCCAGCAAACTCAGGAATGCAAATGCCATACTTGTGATCATGCCTCCATTGCCCTCCTCTTTATGGAGCTTGCACTTTAGATGACGGATGTTTGGAAACTTTCTCAATTGCTTTTCCATCACGTCCCAATCGGTACACAAAAGATTTGATAAACTATCTAGATCATTCATTGTAGAGGAGCTGTCAAGATTATCGATTGGCAACTTAAGGTCCTTTTCCGGGTGGCCTGAGCAAAGATGTCTCAGTTTTTGCAGATTCCATAATGTTTTTGGCAGTTGTACCGCGAAATTCGACGTGATAATAAAAGTTTGTAAATTAGAGAGGTTACCTATTGATGGGCTGACATCATAATGAGTTTCCATTGCCAAATATCTCAACTGGACAAGAAGTCCTAATTCCTTAGGAAACTTAGAGCCAGTCCAAACTTGCTCCATATTCAACACCTTGAGACGCTGGAACATTCGAAAGTTGGATGAGATGTCAACGCTTATATTACTCCAAAAAATGAGCTGACCAAAGGAAACTAAGGAACGGAAATGAGGACTAATTAGAATGGACCCTGTTGTGCTTAGATAATTACAAGATTCGATGTCCAATCTTGGGAGGTTGCTCGGCTTCTTATTGACAGATAACAGATCCTGGAACAAGTTTTCTTCTTTGGCTTTCCTCAAATAGAAGTCACGAAGCAAATCATGCGTGCAACAAGTTTTGACATCTCCTCTTGAACTTTTCTGTGTCTCCATAACTAAGCTTCTACCAATAAGATTCTTCAAGTAATCTTTTGCCACCTTCTCTAAACTCTTCGACTTATCTTTTCGCACGAACCCTTCAGCAACCCAATACCAAATCAACCTCTTGACAGAAACCTCATGATCCTCAGGAAATGATCCAAAAGACAGGAGACACGGCTTTAAATGATCTGGTAAATGTTGATAGCTCAGCTCAATTGCATTGTTGCAAACCTCCGTACCAGAGATGGTGTCTGCGCTTATACTTTCAAGAGTTTCATTCCAAACCTCTGGCTTTGTGTTTGACAAAATTCCAGCCACAATGACAGTTGTTAGAGGCAACCCTTTACAGCATTCTGCAATTTGCATCCCTAATTCATATAATGATGCAGGCCAATCTTTCCCAGGGAACAACTTCCTCCGTAGCAACTCCAAACTCTCCTTGCCAGTGAACTGACGGAGATGATGAGGCTTTTCATCGAGTATAGCTTCAGGAGCAACATCATGGTTACGACTAGTCAAGAGAATCCTACTTTCAGTAGAATCATCAGGAAATGATCCTATTAAGCGATCAAATGCCTGCCTGTCCCATACATCATCAACAAATATGAGATATCTACGCCGTTTCAAAGAACGCCAAAGTTCTTGGATCAAATCGCCTTCCTCCATCTCAAGATATCCATTAGGTAGGTTTCCGAGAGTTTGAGTTAAGAGCTTAAGAACGACTACCTTTGTTTCGAATACTTGAGAAATAGTACACGATGCATGAACATTGAAATGGTGCCTAACTGAAGGATGATTGTAAACTTTTTGTGCTATTGTTGTCTTTCCCAAGCCAGGCATGCCCACAATGGCAACAACCTGCAACTTCTTCGACCCTCTTGTAAGTCGATCAATAATCGATGTTGTCTCAGCTTCTAAACCGACAACTTCGTCAGCTGCTATGGTACTACTCTCTGATGGCACCATAGATAACGTGGCAGTGGGTCTCCGTAGTTGGATGGGTTGTCTGCTGCAATGGAAAATCTTCATGGCATCTGCCTTGATCATCTCGATTTGTTCAGTGATGGTTGTAGTTGAACTTGAAAAAGACTCCTGAATATCTTTAAGCACTAATTGGTCAATGAGAAACTCCATCTTAAATGCCAACTCTACAGCAAGATCATGGAGAGCTTGGAGGTCCTCTTGTTGATTTTGCAACACCACAAGTACCCCTAGAAATGATCTCAAGAACAGAAGATGTTCTCCAATTTTTTGTATGCACATTTGGGCACCTAGATCAACCTTGCAACTTTTCACTTCCATCAAATTGTCCAACAGAAAATCCAAAAAGCCCAGTACATTGGTCTTGGGAAAGCTGAACTCTGATGTTTCCGGTACTTGATCTTCAACCTTGGTCCGGATCACCTCAGGAAAGTTGAACTCTGATGTTTCCAATACGTGCTCTTCAACCTTTGTATGGATCACACCAATTTTTTCTAGCAAATCCGAAACCCCTACGTCAATTACAGTATCTTCTTTATGATAAAGTGAAAAGATCACGACTCCAACATCACAAATCACAACTCCAAGATCCCTTATTTTGACATCGACAAACATGTTTGGCTGCTCCTTGAGAATAAGTCTCAAGGATCTTAGTGCCTCGTACAAGGCTTGCAACTGATTCTTCATAGAAACCACAGGAACAGTATCCCGTTCTAGCATCTCCGAAAGACAATATAGTAGGGAAACAAGGAAATTCTCCATTATATTGAATGTGGGATCATCATCAAATATGTTGAGAGCGGGAACAGGTAACTCTCTGATCAAATGCTTCAAGCTTGCCAGCACCCGAGTGTGAGTCGCATAAACTTGAGAATCGAAATGTTTGATTTTTTCCATCCAAGCAGAAATTGACAGTATCATTCCATCAATGTTGGAAGCTTGAATTGGAGAAGGTTTCAGGTAATAGTTACGTGATGAAAACAAACATTCTGTTATATGAGCTGCATTTATAGCAAGAGGTTCAACGTAAGTAAACAATTCTTGGAGTCCTCGGGGCTCATCTGCGCCAGGAAGAGTGGCAAACCGGAAGAAATTCCTCAAGAATGTGATGTTCTCTTTGAAGGCTTCGACAGGTGGTGGAGGAAAATGTGTAACATCTACAGGGAGGAAAAGGAAATCCTCTACACTCTCCAGGATGGAATCAGCAATATGAATGACTTGAATGGGCATAACTGGGGAACTTGACAGCTGCGAGTAATAATATGGGAAACTGGTGTACCATTGTTTCATTTCTTCCTCAAATGACTCCACGTCCCGTCGAAATTTACCAACTTTCTTCCCCGAAAAGGTAGGATCATCGTCTCCTTCCAATAAAAGAAAGTCACAATAATCTTTGATAGCCCTGTGGTTTCTGCAAACCACATCTTCAATCCTGACCAGAAGAGAGCCCAAAGTTGTGTCCGCATCATTATTCAGATGCGTCTCGTTTCCAAACCTTCTTGAACAAATAATAAATGTTCTGAGACACCTTAGCTTCCCCATCAGGAGCTTGATGTGTACCTCTGCGCGGGTGTCATCATCGAAAGTCCACACCAACTTGTAGAGATCATTCAAGGCCAAATAAAAATAAGAAAGCACGGAGTTTGCAGATTCTTCCATCTTGATTGATGATTGATTGATTTATTTAGCTGCAGACCGGAAGCCAGAATTGTTAGACCCAAATTAACACTAGAGAGAAACTAAATGAAACTAAGGATTGGCTCTAAACAAAGTTGATTAGAGTTTTGCAAACGGAACCTTGATACTAATTATCTCCTCCGATTCAAAACCGAACTCAGCTTAATTACGATTTCCATCGGCATGAACCCTGATTTTTTTTTTCTTCTAACAGATCTAAATGAATAGCAAAGCAATGTAACTAGTACATGAAAACAGGGTATATGTGCAAATGCAAAAAGAAGCTAAATCACATTCAACAAAAAAGAGAGGAAACTACAAATTTGATCAATGATCATCATAAGAATATAAAATGGAAACTGATTTAGAACCATACCTTGGTTTAAAATCTGGTAGCTCAAAGAGACCAGGTAATTGGAGTTTGCAAATGGCCTCCAGCTCCAAAAGAACAAAAGAGGGCTGAAACGCATAAAATAAAGCTCAATAATGAATGGAAACTGAGGGAAGCTTGTTAGAAGAAGACTTATTACAGTTCATTTTCCGTCCACATGGCTTGTCCAGGAAACATGGTGTGGTTATGCTTATGCATTATAAATTACTGTAATCCCTCCTATTTTATAACATAGGATAATGATTTGTAGAATACATCAAAATAATCTATTACTAGTAGAATGAGTCCGACATTAGAGGGAATACTTCTACGTGTATTTAAGTTTTTAAAGTCAACGATGTTGCTACCATATTTATTACTAATCCTTCCATTCTTTATTATATATCGTTTTAGGGTGTACAAAATTGTTTAAAATATATGTTGTTTTACCAAAATCAAGACAATTTTTATCTAATTTTTTTCAACAGTATCCTTGCATAAAAAATGAAACAGTATTTAAAATAAAATTGTATTGGTTGATGATGAATTATATCAATAATAAATAAAGATAATTTTGTATTTTTAAGCAATTAATTCATGTTTTATTAATATTGATGAAATTACTAGAAAGGCATGATATATTTTAGAGTGAACAAATATTATCTTCCATGTTTCGCATCTCGAGGCTAGGCTCATCTGACAGTGAAACATTATTGACCAATTTAATTCACCACATCAAGCCAATGAACGGTATTCTTTAGGACTTTAACTAATGGACTAGTGTTACGTTACATTTGAACTAAAATTGTGTAGTGCATAAATTGTTTGAAATTGATGTACATAAATAAATTAAAAATTGGAATCATTCGAATTATTCTATTAAATATCTATGATTATTGATTGGGTAAATATTTATTTAACAAATTTAAAATTGAATGAATGGGATTGAAGAAATTGATTCATAATTTTTACTTCCTTTATGAATGTATGATCGAATTTGAAGATTAATATAAATTAAGAATATTCCAAATTCCTCGTGATGACTCTAAATTCCTATTCTTTTTGGATAAATATCTCCGGCAATTTATTCAGTATATCCGGGGCACCATACCCCCCTCCTATCTTTTACACTACTAGTTCTTACTACATTTTTTTCCACTTTTCTAAATAATATCTTATAATTTACAGATTTAGTCCCTTTGATTTTTTTTCTCTCTCTTTTAAAAAACATCTCTAATCTTTAAACGATCATATCTCATGATCCGTAAAAAATTAGAGAACGTGCTATATATGAAAATTATAGTACTCCTCAGGATCTATCCAACAAGATCCATGTCGAATATTTTTTTTTCGAGTTTAAAAATGACTAAATTTCAATGGGCAGAATAACATGGATATCTAGTTTTAAAAGATGGAAAACCAACTTAGTTTAGATTAAAATTCTTGTATTGCATATATCTCTTGATCCGTAAAGAATTAGATATGAATTATACATGAAATTTATAGTGCTCGACGAAATCTATCCGATAAGATCCATGTTGAATATTTTTTTTGAACTTTACATGCATTTAAATTTTACGGGCAGAAATGAAGGAATGTAATTTTCATTTTTCTTTGAAAAATGGTTATTCGTTGTGTTCCTACTGATTATCCAATCACTTTGGACTGATTATCCATTATGTTTGTACTTGTTATCCAATCATATTTTTGACATTCACTCTTTAAAAAAAAAAAGAAAGAAAAAATGATTGGATAAGTATTGCAAACAATTTGGATAATCAATAGAAAATAATTAGATAATTAGTGCAACACGTTGGACAATCAGTACAAAAAAGTTTGACAATCATTTTTATAAAAGAGTAAGAAAAAAAATACTGGATAACCACCATAAAGAAGTTAGATAATTAATATGAACACATTGGATATCCAGTTTAAGAAGATGGATAACCAACTTATTTTGAATTAAGAAGTTGGATAATCAATATGAGGTGGATGGATATCAAGTATAAGCGAGTTGGATATCTAGCACAAACAAGTTGGACATGCATACAAATCCCTTGGATTACAACTACAAAATAAGTTGGATAAGCATATAAACCAAATAGATGGATATCCAGTACAAGCGAGTTGGATATCCATTTCAAACAAGTGGGGATATCCATTACAAACAAGTTGGATAGACATACAAACCAAATAGATAAGCAGTACAAACAAAATGGATAACCAGTTTAAACTGATTGGATAATCAGCATGAACACAATGGATAACCAATTTAGAACAAGTTGGTTATCCATTTTGTAAAACGGGATATCCACCTTTATTCTGCTCATCAGAATTAAGTCATTTTTAAGCGCTGAAAAATATTCACTATGGATCTTGTTGGATAGATCTCGACAAATACTATAAACTTCATGTATAAATCGTTCACAAATTCTTCACGGATTGGGAGATATACTCATTGAAAGATTAGAGATGTTTTTTTTGGAAGAGAGAAAAAAATAGCAGGGACTCAACTTGCAAAATATAGAAAGATTGATAAAAAAGTACAATAAGGACTAGAAATCCAAAAAATAAGAGGGGGTACACGGTGCCCCCGGATATACTGTATATAGACTCAATATCTCCCTTTACATCATTAAATAATTTTAGCACTGAAAAGTTCTATTTAAGTGTCACTAAATAACACCAAATCTGGACAAAAGTGAATAAACATCTATAGTATTATACTAAAAGAGAAACCAGAGAGAGAAAACAAATCCTATGTGTCATTTTTCTAATGTTTGAGTCAAAAAATATTTACAACAATTATACTAATAGTCCTTCAAATTTTATGTAAATAAAGTTTTATCAAATGGCATTTAAAATTATAATTTAAAATAGAAAAATAAAAATTAATTAAATTTAATAGACGGGATTAATGAACATTAATGCACCAGAATTATTCTCTCCCCAAAAGAGTCCCCAAAGTTACTACTAGACTCATTCAATTAATCTATCTCAAAAAAAAATCTCCTTCCCAATCATGTAAATCAATAGACTACAATTCAAAAAAAAAAAAAAAAACCAATCATTCAATATTAATATTATCTTTAAAATCTTCTCCAAAAAAAATGACCATGTATTTTTCGCCAATAAAAAAGAAAATAAAGGTACAAAATTTTCCTTCAATTATTACTAAAAGGATGGGATTTAACTATAATTAAATATTATCTTTTGAATTTCAAACCAATACATTTATTTGTGTAAATCATATCTACCAAAATCTTTCCTTAATAATATCTCAAAAATTGTTTTAAACTTTATCTTTATCACTGAAATTTTGGATAATCAATTATCATCAATCCCAATTTATCTCTATTTATACATGCCACACAAACCATGAGTATCTCTATTTACAAATTTTATGCAAATAATGTTTTATCAAATGGCATTTAACACTATAGTTTAAAATAGGAAAATAAAAATTAATTAAAGTTAATGGATGGGATTAATGAACATTAATGCACCAGAATTATTCCCTCCCCAAAAGAATTCCCAAAGTTACTACTGGACTCATTTAATTAATCTCTCTCAAAAAAAAAAATCTCTCCTAATCATGTAAATCAATAGAGTACAATTAAAAAAAAAAAGAATAATACCAATCATTCAATTAAAGTTATCTTTAAAATTTTCTGCCAAAAACATGATCCTGTATTTTTCGTCAATAAAAAAGAAAAAAAAGGTACAAAATTTGCCTTCAATTATTACTAAAAGGATGGGATTTAACTATAATTAAATATTATCTTTTGAATTTCAAACCAATACATTTATTTGTGTAATATCATATCTACCCAAATAAATATAATCTTTCCTTAATAATATCTCAAAAATTGTTATAAACTTTATCTTTATCACTGAAATTTTGGATAATCAATTATCATCAATCCCAATTTATCTCTATTTATACATGCCACACAAACCATGAGTATGTTCCAGTGCTGCAAAAATTTCTCCCTCTCCAAAACAAACCCGAAATCCAAAGATGAAAGGGCAAAAACTTTAGCCCTACAGTTGGTTTGTGTTCTGAAAGTGATGAACTAATAGTGGGTCGATCGTGTGACATGGGAGGTAATAGTTAATTAAGGTTATATATGATTTTTTTTCCGTATATTCTTCTACAAAATGATGTTTTAGAGTTCTTTTTTAGACGTTACTAAATTTATGCTTTTTTTACCTATAATTTCGTTATTTCATTAATTATTATTTTCTATTGTCATAGCAAAAAGGGATTAAATGACAAAAATTTTAACTCTACAGTTGGTTTGTTGCTCAAAAATATTAAGTATTGGGCCAAACGGTACCATAAAATCTTTAATTACAATAAAATAACCATAAAAATTTTAAACTTCACACTTCAGTCACACATAATCTACCATCTACTATTGATAATAACTTCATTATGTATTTTACGCGTACAATCATTTTATCTTTTCATTCAATATATAACATTAATACAATCTTATTTATTTTACTTTGCTTATGAGTGTTATTGTCCAATTCTTCTCCTTCAATAAAAATCAAGTGAACACTTGCATTTCAAATGATATGCATTATTTTATCTTTACAATTACGTCTTTATTTAATTTTAGTTGTGTAATGTATCTTAATATGGATTCCAAATACATTTTACACTTTTTATATTTTTTTGTTGATTTTTTATTATGTATATAAATAAACCCCGCGCATCGCGCGCGTTTAACATCTAGTAAGTTATAAATACCACTTTGGGAAGAAACCTATTATATGCTTATTACATAATAAAATTGCGAACTGATAATGTTAATATTAGCATGACATTTGTGGTGGTTTATGTGTTGTTTTGAATATTATCTATGCTAATATTAGTGCTTCGGTTCTTAATTTGATCATAGGAAGGATTTGGAATAAAAAGAAGAAAAGTGTTGATTTTGAAGAGATTTTAAAGGTTTTATTGAATCAAGTTTCAAGTTGGAGAAGAAGTGGTTGATTCCCGCGTGGGCACACAAAATTCATGCCAAAATAAATGAAGGAAGCAGGAAATTCCAGCAACAATGTTGTATTCCCGCGTGGGCACGCTGTAACAGAGACTAAATTGCAAAATTTCTAAAGTTTTTGAGTCAATTTGTAATTTCTATAAACTTTAGGGGCTAATTTGCAAATTCTGAAAACTTTAATTGGTTGCTGCG